CCTTCTGAAAGCAAATTATAACAGCTCCGAAGTCATGATGCTCCGAAGTCATACGTTGAGATAGATCTACTAAATATGCATAGTTCTGTGGGGTATAACATAGTCAGCCCCGCCCGACTTTTGACCTCTTCTTACGGGTTATTTTCATAAATCGTGTCACAATGTGATTCTATTAAGACCATCAAAAGGAATTGTGGGTCTATCTTGGTCCCTTCTTAATTTTACAAACAAAGCCATAATATCCCTATACCACAGTGTAGTGTGGGGTATTCAAATTACTAAATAATATGTTGTTGTTGTTGTTTCAAAAAGGCTTAATCCCATTTTGGTTTTTGTTATAAAAACGTTGATGAATTCATGGATAAAAATGACAATAATTGCCAATCATCGTCACAATCCCTTGGGTTTCGTTTTGGGATATTACCCCTGAAGTAATTTAAAAAACAACTCCTCTGGCAAGAAGAAATATATTAAAATAAAAAATAAACGAAATAACTAGGGTATCCCAACAAATTAATACCAACAATATTACTAATAAATACAATAATAATCGAGTAATTGCTTATTCAAATATGTATAACTCTGTTGAATTTGCGACAGAAGTTATCTATTCTTGGTAGTTTAGATGTGCTCACATTAATAGTTGATGAGGTTTAGGTTTTAAATTATGCCCAATATTGGAGAAAATGCTCTAAAACATTCTTAACTTATTCCATTTATTTTGCATTATATACGTCATCCAAGTTTGTGAATTGCATTTGCGAACATTACACTATTTTTTTTTTTCAATAATTACGGCGAAAATCCGGCAGAATATTAAAGGATAGCTTAAAACTGAAGACACATATATGGGCCTTTTTAAAAGTTTACATTACAAAGTAAACTTAAAGATCACCCTCTTCCATACTTTTGGAATTTTAGGATCAAGATTCCTCCAAATCCGAGCAATTCAGATGTATAGTGTATTCAGAAGATAAAAATGCGAGGGATATTTGGATTTGTGAAATCTTAACTTTAAAGCGAGTCAATAAAGGGATCGCTAAATATTCATTGTAGACCCCATAAAGTATTATACATATTCATAATCAACATAAAATTCTAAGTCGATTTAAAGACGTCCGTTTGTCTGTCTGTTGAAATCACGACACAGCTCATAGTATTTGACGTAGACCTTTAAAATTTGGAATTTGGAATTTGAAAATGAGATATATCGGTCCACGTTTTGGTATAGCCGCCATATAACGGTACCTGTCGATATTCGGTATTTTGACGATTTTCGCCACATTTTCCCAAGGATTTGTCTAAAATTTGGTATTTTTAGGTCATAATGGTTTCTAGCTGGTGTGGCGGAACATTGTATACCTATATTCACGTTCTGGTATATCCACCATATAACGGCACCTCCCAATATTCGGTATTTTGATGATTTTTGCCACATTTTTCACTGATTTGTCTAAAAATTGATATTTGCAGGTCATAATGGATTCTAGCTGGTGTGGCGGAACATTGTATGCTCCACAGCTGTTAAATTTATTCCAGAGACAGTTCATTGTATTGTTTACAAGCATACAAACGCATTTAGGTGAGAGTTTTCCAGAAAAAAAGTTATTCTTAATGGAATTCAAATGTGATAATATGATTTCTTTATATTTGTCTGGAAAACCACAAGCGGCTATCGTTAGAGCACTCCAGCATTTAAATGTGAATAAAGCTTTTGTATCTCGTACCATCGCTCATTACCGCGATACTGGTGGCGGAGGAAGTGGACGGAAGAAAACAGCAACATCAGCAGAAATGGTTGGAAAAGTAAAGAAGCGACTTGATCGAAACCCACGTCGCAGTGGCCGAAAAATGGCTCGTGAGCTGAACATATCGCAATATTCCATTCGCCAAATATTGAAAAATGAGCTCGGCGTAAAGCCATTGGAAATTGAAGTGATGGTGTGTCCGCCGCCATAAAAGCCGATGGTCGCTCTCCGCTCGTATTAATCGACCGTGGCATCAGAATAAATTCCGAATATTATCGCGAAGGTAAAAAAAGCCTTGGGGACGCAATAATTTTGGCCACAGACCTTGGACATTCCTACAGGACTCAGCACCATCGCACTCAGCACGCGCCACCCAAAAATGGTTACAAAATGAGGTTCCTCGCTTCTTTTCCAGCGCACAATGACCACCAAAATCTCCGAATACCAATCCGTTGGACTATTGAGTCTGGAGTATTTTGGAAGCAAGGTTGTCACTAAAAAATGCTAAAGTGTCGATCACCTTAGGCAAGCCCTTCGCCGGGAATGGGTCAAAATACCGCAGAGCAACATTCGGGCAGCGTGTGACGTGGCGTGGTTTCATTGGTCGTCTGAAGGTCATAATTCGTGCCAAAGGTGACCAATTCGAACAAATCTAAACTTGTTCTAAATTTTGATGCTATTTCCGACATTTTTTGCTTTTATTTAATAAAATTAAACAGAAAAATGTAAAAATTATTGCGTTTGACTTTGTTGCAGTTTTTTATCTCAACCTGTATGTGGGCTATACCATATCGTGGACCCATATAGACATTTCCCTTTCAGGGAGAATAGTGCTTAAAAAGAACTTCTAGTATGGATTTTTAGACAATTCTATTGGAAAATATAGCTAAAATCATCAAAATATCGTTACATGGGGGATATACGATATTCGTTGACCTATATAGAGAATACTCTTCCAGGGGTAAAGTACTCAGAAAGAACTCCTTTTGTGGATTTTCAGACAATTTTATTAAATAATTTGGCTACAATCATTAAAAAAATAAACGATATCGTGGACCGACATAGCCCATCTTCGAACTTGCTTGCCTGCCAAGAAAAGACTAATCTGTGCAAAATTTTAGTTTCCCATCTTTATCCGACTCTAGCGTGAATACAGCAGACGGGCAGGGTATAAAAGCCCAACACAAATTTTGGAACGAATTTAACATTTGGATTTTTTGGTGGAATTTTCGCGGGTACTTGCTAGTGAATTATATATAGAGATTTCTTGATTTTTATACCCTACACCACAAAGTGGTTCAGGGTATTATGTCTTTGTGAAATTTCTTTGTAACAGGCAAAAAGAAAACGAGATAGACCCATAGTTCCTTTTGATGATCTGCATAGAATCACATTCTGAGTCGATTTATGCATGTCCGTCCGTACGTCTGTCCATGTATTTTTGTAAACAAAGTACAGTTCGCATTTATTGCCCTATCCATATGAAATTTTAAACAAATCATTTGTTTGGCCCAAAGACGAACCCTATTGAAATTGGATATAATCGGTCAAAATTTAGATATAGCTCTTCGTCCGATTTGCCTTTTATTGTCCACAAAACATGTAATATCAGTCCGAATAGTATGGAATTTTGCACGTACGATCAGATTGGACTTGAAAATAAGTATGCTAAATTTGATCGAAATCGGTTCAGATATAGCTATAGCTCCCATATATATTGTTCATCCGATTTGTTACTTTTGTCCTCCGCAGCCGTAATATGCACTCTGTAACAACAATATTTGGGGAAATATATCAAATACAGCTCAGAAATACATTTGCTAAATTTTATCGAGATCGGTTCAGATTTGGATATATATAACTTCCCATATATAACTTCGTCCGATTTACCTTTGATTGTACACCAGACATCTAATATTTGCCCAAATGGGATGAAATTTGACACTTACGACCGAATTGAGTCTAGAAGCTAGTATGTCAAATTTGGTGAAGATCGGTTCAGATATAGCTATAGCTCCCATATGTACTGTTCATCCGATTTGTTATATTTGTTACCCACAGCCATAATATGCACTCCGTAACAACGATATTCAGGGAAATATATCAAATACAGCTCAGAAATATCGTTGCTAAATTTTATCGAGATCGGTTCCGATTTGGATATAACTCATATAGATATTTATCCGATTTCAAATTAATTGTGCACCAAATGGGCAATACAAGTCCGAATTTAAAAGATGCAAATGTTTCGACATATTTAGTCCTTTGAACTTTAAATTATAATTATAATCATAGCGTGTATGATTGAATTCTCCCATAAAAACTTTTAATTGCTATGCGGAGCTCTACTAAATTAGCAAAGTGGTGTAGGGTATCATAAAGTCGGCCCCGCCCGACTTTAGGACTTTCTTTACTGGTTTTGAATTGACTTTTTTTTTAACTTTCCTATAACTCTTTTTTGGGGAACCGATTATTTGTTAATGGACACTTTTGCTAGGTTAGCGGACTCAATTCCACACATTCTTACGGAACACGTTTTATACCAAATAAAACATATTCTGAGAATTATAACTACGTATTTATTAAATATTACATACCTTTCACTAATTTTCATATACCATTTATTATGAGAATAAATTTTATTTAAACACAATTAGGAAATTTTTTGTTCTGCTGCTAAGTAACCAAATTCGTTTGGATACCAAATAATAAACCAAAATACCAAACAATGGCAGCATATCACAAGCCATATTAGCAAACATATAAAAATAGAATGGAAATTGATAGACACAATTAAATATTACAACCACTATCCATCCATTCGATTGGAATTATCTCTCTTCATGGTAACCAGACGTGTGTATATGTGTGTGTGCTACCATGCCATTCCCATGGAATAAATTCAAGGAAATTCAAATAATAACCTATATTTTTGTGGCAAATATTTGACAACAAATTGAGTGAATGGCACTTCCCCTATTGACAAAAGATTAAAGCCCATCAAGATGACCAAAACTGTAGAGGGACATAAGTATGTAAATATGTTTGTAATCGTAAGATATTTGATTTGCAATTCAAATAATATCTTGTTGCTTCGCATGTAGAACACAATGTACATACTGAGACATGTGTCTGTGGCATTTGGAAATTAAACTATTGCGTAGTAAAATAATCTATTAATTTAATATTTGAAGCAGTCGTTGAGAAATATTTATAAATTACTATTTTTTTTTTTCATTTTTCTTTTTCCAGGCATGGCCCAGTGTGAAGCGAACCTTTGATTTATATCCACCAAATCCCAGTCCATATGAACTGCATACCATAACAGGTAATTTCAAAGTTAATAATGCTTCGTCCTTTTGCTGCCATAATCATTGTCATGTACAAAGGACATGAAACCTTTGATAATGTATTACATTATGGAAAATACACTCTAATAAAATTACAGTTTTGTAGAATAATGAGTCTTGGAAAAAGGTTAAAAGATTTTGATGGCCACATTATGCATTCTATTAGAAATTAATGAGAAAAGTCGACAAAAGAAAGTTTTCTTACTTTATATTGCTTAATTTACATTTTTAAATACGTGTTAATTTACAAGTTTAGATTGAGTAATTGTATTTAAATATGTCTCAGAAATTTTAAAACAACAAGTAAAAAACATAAAGTTCGGCCGGCACAAATTTTTAATACCCTCTAACTTAGGGTAAAGGAAAAAATTTTATATAAATGCATCCGAATTCAAGCGTGTATCACTTTAAACTTCATATACCACTAAGACCGTTTGAAAAATGCAGTTAAACTTATCAACAAAACGATAAAGTGAGTGAGGCCGTTATATGGGGTCATACCAAGACGGAAACCCTAAGGCAATTTTATACTTCAAGGATTGTAATCTATCAAATTTTCTAAAATGCCAAATTTGAAACAATTATGTGGGTCAATGTGACTAGAATTATCAAAATACCGAATATCGGTGGGAATCGTTATATGTGCGTAGAGGGAAATGTGGAACTAAATATTCAATGTTCTGCCACCGGGCTAGAACACATTATGAACTACAAATACCAATTTTTTTTTATCAAAATATCGAATAAAATGTGGCAAAAATCATCAAAGCACCGAATATCGTTATATGGGGGTTATACCAAAACGTGGACCTATATAAAAAATGTTTCGCCATACGAGCTAGAACCCATTATGACCCACAAATTCCAATTTTTAGGCAAATCTGCGAAAAAATGTGGCAAAAATCAAAATACCGAATATAGGGAGGTACCGTTATATGGGGGATATACCAAATCGTGGACCTATACATAGAATTTTCTGCCACCGGAGCTAGAACCCTGTATGACCCACAAATACCAATTTTTAGACAAATCTGCGAAACATTTTGACAAAAATTATCAAAATACCGAAAATCGGCATATACCGTTATATGGGGGCTGTACGAAATCGTGGATCTATACATACAATTTTTTTCCACCGGATCGAGATCCCATAATGACCAACAAATACACATTTTTAGACAAATCCATGAAAAAACACCGAATACCGTTACCAAAATATGGACCTATACATACAATGTTTTGCCACACATGCTAAAACCCATTACGAACTACATGTACCGATTTCTGGACAAATCCGTTAAAAAAACTTATAAAGCGTTGAGAGTTATCAAAACTGGATAAATTGCAATATTTATATCAGAGTTAGGTTTGGGGTGTAAAAACCAATACTAGTCCACTCCGCTGGAATTTCTCTAACAAATTAAAAACAGTTTGAATAAGTTAAAAAGTAGTAAGTTCGGCCGGGTCGATCTTTGAATACCCTCCACCATTTGGAACGAATTTGGAAATTTTCAAAAAATATTGTAGCTGTGCGAAGAGCTGGACCTGCATAGACAATTTTCTGTCACAGGCTGTAGCACCCATTACGAACTTCAAATACCACATCTCAAACAATTTCGGTGGGTATTGTACCTAAAATCGTCAATATACCGAATATAGGGAGGTACTGATATATGGGGCCTATACGAAGACCTGGACCTGCATAGACAATTTTCTGTCACAGACTGTAGTTCCTATAACGAACTCTAAATACGTAATTTGAAACAATTCTGGTGAATAATGTCGCCAAATTCATGACACAAACAATTTTCTGTCTAAGAGTGTAGTATCAAATTCGAACTTCAAATACCAAATTTGAAACATTTCCGGTGAATAATGCCGCTAAAATCATGAAAATACCGAATATCGGGAGGTACCGTTATATGGATGTTATACGAAGACGTGGACTTGCACAGACAATTTTCTGTCTTAGGGTGTAGTATCCATTTCGAACCTCAAATACGAAATTTGAAACAATTCCGGTAAATAATGTCGCTAAAATCATCAAAATACCGAATATCGGGAGGTACCGTTATATGGGGGCTATATGAAAACGTGGACCATTCACGAACTTAACCTGCCTACTGGAAAAATAAACATGTGTGCAAAATGTTAGCCATCTATCTCAATTCATTCGAAAGATAGCGCGATTACAACAGACAGACGGACATCGCTATATCGACTTAGAATTTTACGCTGATCAAGAATATATATACTTTGTTGAGTCTGACATGAGTATTTCGAGGAGTTACAAACGGAATGACAAAGTTAATATACCGTCCATAGTATGGTGGAGGGTATAAAAATAATAATAATAAAATATAAAACAATTTTTTGGATTTTTATATCTATATATCTGGAAATAACTGATAGACTGACGGAGAATCAACGCCAGGACGAAACGGCTAAAGCTAGAATCTTAATATTGCACAAGGGTCAGTCCTGGTGCGTAGGTGTGTGATAAGGCTGAGGGAGTGCAAGATAGATGTACCAAAGGAAATTTTGGAAATTTAAACTAAACGATAACGAAAAGTTCTAAAATATAAACTTCTAAAATAGTACCAATTGGTATTATGTGAAGGGAAATTTGGTAGGAGAATCAAGGTAGGAAAGTAGATTTGATATATGAAGGTGGTTTGGGAAATGTGTACTAAATGTAACTAAATTTGGAACAGCTTGGTTTAAGAAATTTAGTTTTAAAAATTTTGTATTGGGGTCCCTGTTGGTAGGAGGTTTGCGATAAAGAGTTGGTTTTGGAAATATGTACTATAATTGTACGAAATGTACTAAATGTTACTAAATTTGGTATTGAGTGAAAACAGGATGAGGTGGAAAAACTGCAACCCACTTCAGACTGCTGTCATTTCTAAGGCACTCGTCCGACAGCTGTTAAAAAAATGGCTAGTGAGCTGAACATATCACAATATTCCGTTCGGCAAATATTGAAAAATGAGCTCGGGGTAAAACCATTGAAATTCCAAAAAGAGCAAGAACTTACACCGCAACAGAAAGAAAATAGTCGCAAAAGAGCTAAAGTGTTGCTTCGCTTGGCCGAAAGTGGTGAACTGTCGAATTTGGTTTTCTCCGATGTCTGGAGTATTTTTTTGAAAGCAAGGTTGGTACTAGGGTTTCATGTAGAATTCTATAGAAATTATTGCGTTCCCAAGGTTTTCTATAGAAAATACTATGTTCCACAAGATTTTCTTTAGAAAATAATGCGTCCCATAAGATTTTCTAAAGAAAATAATGCGTTCCATAAGATTTTCTAAAGAAAATATTATGTTCCACAAGTTTTCCACAAAATTTTCTATTGAAAATATTATGTTCCACAAGATTTTCTATAGAAAATATTATGTTCCACAAGATTTTCTATAGAAAATATTATGTTCCACAAGATTTTCTATAGAAAATATTATGTTCCACAAGATTTTCTATAGAAAATATTATGTTCCACAAGATTTTTTATTGAAAATATTACGTCCACAAAATTTTCTATTGAAAATATTATGTTCCACAAAATTTTCTATTGAAAATATTATGTTCCACAAAATTTTCTATAGAAAATATTATGTTCCACAAAATTTTCTATAGAAAATATTATGTTCCACAAGATTTTCTATAATGCGTTCCACAAAATTTTCTATTGAAAATATTATGTTCCACAAAATTTTCTATTGAAAATATTATGTTCCACAAGATTTTCTACAGAAGGCTATAACTCGTGCCAAAGATGGCCAATTCGAACAAATCTAAACTTATTCTAAAATTTGATGCTATTTTCAACATTTTTTGCGTTCATTCAATAAAATTTAAAAAAAAATTAAAATTATGGCGTTTTACCTTGTTGCAGTTTTTTTCATCTCACCCTGTACTTTCTTATTATTTTCAAACAACCACAATTAAATAAGTACCCCCACGAAAGACATATCAATAATTGTTACTAACATATTCGTTTAGACAACTATCTATAAATGAAAACAACAATATAATCAGTTATAAAATAATTTGACTACCTACGTACTAGCTTCTGATGCAAGGTGGGCAAAAACATCAACTCGATATCGATTCAAATATTTTATTTTATGGTGCCCCCTTCAAAGATATTTCAGTGCACATAGCCTGGCATATTGGAAAACATTTATTGGCACTTTTATGACTTCTATGGCACATAATTAATCATTGAACTACTTACGAACCAAATCGAACGGAACGAAACGTATTCACATTAAATGTATAACGACCATAACCATATTTCATAAAAAATACTAAAGAAGAAGCACATTAAATTTGCAGCAATTAGTATTAGTTTTGGGTAGCAAATTGTTTGGAAAAAACTACCATTAATGCCTCCTCTATTGCGTTTGGTTATATCACCGCCTACGCTGGCCAAAATTTATTGGCCAACTAAGAATATCTTAATTTTGATATTTATTTATTTATTTTTATGAAGCAATATGTTGCTTCTCTTTCATAAATGCGTAAATATAACTTTATCATAATTTCACTTACCCCAAACGAAATGCCACGAAGGAGATTGGATGTGAATGGCAAACTGAAAATAAATAAATAGAAATTAGATGAAAGGAAATGGAATGGAATATTTGCAAATTCATATTCGATTTGATGGACGGCAACAGTCAAATTATATTCAGCATTGCCTGTGAGAGAGTTCAATACGATATTGTATTGGAGACAATTAAATATTCAGAATGCTTTAATATAAGAAGAGCAAAGAAAATAACCCATGTCGTCGCTCTTCCTGTGATATGTTGGCGGGCATAAAATTTAGAATGGAGTTAAAGATGGCAAATTCAAATATTCTTAATGAAATTCAGTGTTTTTATTTTTGCAAATAACTACCGGTCAGTAATTTTTATTAAATATTTATAAGATTGTGCAGGATGAAATGGAAACGTATTTTTTTATGTCATTTGCCGACAACATAAAGTAGTTCCACTACCATAGAATATATTTTGTCACAATTATGGGCAATATTTGTATTTATATGATTTCAAAGACAATTGGAAAATAATTTGTAATCATACAGGGTGAGATAAAAAAAACTGCAACTAAGTCAAACGCAATAATTTTTACATTTTTCTTTTTTATACCCTCCACCATACTATGGAGTGTATATTAACTTTGTCATTCCGTTTGTAACTCCTCGAAATACTCATGTCAGACCCAACAAAGTATATATATTCTTGATCAGCGTAAAATTCTAAGTCGATTTAGCCATTTCCATCTGTCTGTTGTAATCACGCTATCTTTCTAGCGAATTGAGATAGAAGGCTAAAATTTTGCACTCGTGTTTATTTTCCCAGCAGGCAGGTTAAGTTCGTAAATGGTCCAAGTAGGACCACGTTTTCATATAGCCCCCATATATAAATACCTCCCGATATTCGGTATTTTGATGATTTTGGCAACATTATTCATCGGAATTAATTCAAATTTGGTATTTGAAGTTCGAAATGGATACTACTGTCTAAGACAGAAAATTGTCTGTGCAGGTCCACGTCTTCGTATAGCCCCCATATAACGGTACCTCCCAAAATTCGGTATTTTGATGATTTTAGCGACATTATTCACCGGAATTGTTTCAAATTTGGTATTTGAGATTCGTAATGGATACTACAGCCTATGACAGAAAATTGTCTGTGCAAGTCCACGACTTCGTATAGCCCCCATATAACGGTACCTCCCTATATTCGGTATTTTGACGATTTTAGCGTCATTATTTAACGGAATTGTTTCAAATTACGTATTTAGAGTTCGTAATGGAAACTACAGTCTGTGACAGAAAATTGTCTATACAGGTACAGGTCTTCGTATAGGCTCCATATATCAGTACCTCCCTATATTCGGTAGGTACAATACCCACCGAAATTTTTTGAGATTTCGTATTTGACGTTCGTAATGGATGCTATAGCCTGTGACAGAAAACTGTCTTTGCTGGTCCAGGTCTTCGCACAGCTCCGATATAACGGAACCTCCCTATATACGATATTTTGATGATTTTAGCTACATTATTCACCATTTATTTCAAGTTTCGAATTTCAGTATGGTAATGGCTTTTGGCAAACAAGGCCTATGTAGGTCCATGTCGTATAGACCCCAATATAACGGCTATATTCGGAATTTTTAAAAATTTTAAGAGAATTTTTTAAGGATTTTATTTTTTGAAAATTTCCAAATTGGTTCCAAATGGTGGAGAGTATTCAAAGTTCGGCCCGGCCGAACTTACGGCTTTTTAACTTGTTTTTTTTTTTTTATTTTATTGAATAAAAGCAAAAAATGTCAGAAATAGCATACAATTTTAGAATAAGTTTAGATTTGTTCGAATTGGTTACCTTTGGCACGAATTATGGCCTTCAAAACCGTCACACGCTGCCCGAATGTTGCTCTGCGGTATTTTGGCCCATTCCCAGCGAAGCGCTTACTTGAGGTGATCGACACTTTGGTATTTTTTAGTGTCAACCTTGCTTTCCAAAATACTCCATACATACAATCCAACGGATTGGTATCCGGAGATTTTGGTGGCCATTGTGAACTGGAAATGAGGCGAGGAACCTCATTTTGTAACCATTCTTGGGTGCGATGTTCCGAGTGCGAGTGTTGAGTGCGATGTTCCGAGTGCGAGTCCTATTGAAATATCCAAGGTCTGCGCCCAAAATGTTTGCGTTCCCAAGGCTTTAATACACACTCCAGAATATTTTCGCGATAATATTCGACATTTATTCTGATGCCAGGGTAGTTCACCCCTTTCGGCCAAGCTAGGCAACTCTTTAGCTCTTTTGAGTCTATTTTCTTCCGGTCGCGGTGTAAGTTCTTGCACTTTTTGGAATTTCAATGGCTGAGATTGGGGCAAGCTCATTTTTCAATATTTTCCGAATGGAATATTGCGATATGTTCAGCTCACGAACAATTTTTTGGGCACTGCGACGCGGGTTTCGATCAAGTCGCTTCTTTACTTTTCAAAACATTTCTGCTGATGTTGCTGTTTTCTACCGTCCACTTCCTTGACGCCGGGCTATGCTACCAGTATCACGGTAACGAGCACTCTGTATATCGGAGCCGAGTTGCAAAAAATGAAATGCACTCCATTTGGGCTGATACTACATAAAATTTGGCAAGGGTATTTCCGAGCTTTATAAGACATCTGGTACCAAATATCATAGTTGTCGAATGCATATTACGAATTTGAGGACCTTAAATACCAAATCGGATGAAACATATTCATGGGAGCTATAGCTATATCTGATCCGATTTTCTCCGAATTTAATTTACTTGCTTCCAGACTGAATTCGGTCGGATATGCAAAAAATCAGGTCATTTGGACTGATATTGGCTATTTGGTGCACAATATATATGGGAGCTATATCCAAATCTGAACCGATCTTGACAAAATTTTATCAAAGATTATTGTCGTGGAATGCATATTACGCTTGTGATGGACTTTAAACCCCAAATCGGACAAAACATATATATGGGAGCTATAGCTATAGCTTGAACGATTTACACCAAATTGGAAGTACTAGTTGAAAGGATGAGTTCAGTCGTAATTGTCAAAATTTAGTCACTTTTGTCGGATATTAGCCATTTGGTGCACAATAAACCTGATAACGGATAAAGATATATATGGGAGCTAATCTGCAGCGATCTCGATAAAATTTGATAGAGGTATTTTCGAGTAGTATCTGATTTCCATTACCAAATAACATTCTTCTGGAGTGCATATTATGCATGTGAGGGACTTAAAATCCCAAATCGGATGAAACATATATATATATGGTAGCTATAGCTATATCTCAACCGATTTTCCCTAAATTTGATTTACTTGCTTCTAGACTGAATTCGGTGGGATGTAATAATATAAAGAACATTTGGACTTATATTAGCCATTAAGTGAACTATTAAAACGAAATCGGTTGTAGATATATGGGAGATATATCTAAATCTGATCCGATTATCACCAATTTCAATAGGATTCGTCCTTGGACCAAACAAATATTGTTTGCAAAATTTCACCCCAATCTGATAATAAATGCGACCTGCAATTTGCTCACAAAAATACATGGACGGAAGGACGGACTGAGATGCGTAAATCGACTCAGAAAGTGATTCTATGAAGATCCTCAAAAGTAACTATGGGTCTAACTCGTTTCCTTCTCCATGTTAGGGTATAAAAATGCAGGTCTTTACCACTTAGCCATCGTTCTTTAACAATTTAAACATATTTTGTTCTCTTTAGTATTTTTTTTTTTTTTTTTTTTTTTGCATTTCTTTATTTCTAATGCCCATATTTCAATCCAATTTTATATTGAACTTGCACACACACTCCTAGCATAAAACATCATTTTCATATTCTAATTGTTCAGCTATAAATATTGCTCCTTAATTTTAAGATAATATACCCTACTGTACGAATAATATACCTTGAAGACATTACAATCGAAATTCTGTCAAATGTCACAGCCACAACAATACCCATAACTAGTTAATGATCTGGACAAAGGAGAATTTCATGTCTTAACCTAAATTCAGGCTCACAAACTCCGCCACCCTCGTAGATATTTCGTACGTTCTAATTGGATGTTTGTCATTAAGAGATGCATCTGAAATATGTGTGTGGGCGGGTGTGTTTGTGAATGTAGCTGAGAGTCACTGGCAGACAAACCATATTGACATGCCGGTGGGGTGCTGCTTTCCTCGTACTATTATCACACAGACCGTATGATAAAATAATAAAATCCTTTAATTATGCTAAAACCAAATCTTGAATATGAAGATACAGATGTCACAGGTCATTAAAATTAAATGTAATTTTATAAAAATAGAAAGAGAATAATATCAAATTTAAAACAAATGATTTTTCTTTACTCAAACAATTCATTAGAATTTTTCAGAACAAAAACCATTTCTTTTGTGAATTATTAAAACTTTAATGAATTAAAATTCTTATATATTTTTATCTCTCCCTCCACCACTTCCGTCAAAACTCTGTTTGTTTGGTGTGCCACATTTCTCTCGCCCAAAACCACAGATTGCATGCACGTCGCCTCCGAGCCAGGTGATTATGCATTCAAAAAGTTACCTCCCCGCACGACAGCAGCAACAGCTGCTTTATTTGGCAACACTGACGAAACATCAGCCATCCTCCAATTGGAAGAATCCCTGCAGGTTTGCGGTCTTTATGTGATTGGAGAGCCTGATACGATTGTCGAGATAACGATGAAGTACTACGATGTCAATTGTGAAACGGGCGCTCTGATGGCCGTAAGTATGATGCGCGTTAACGCTTGGCAAAAAGAGTTTGCCAAGGGTCGAAGGTTAAAAGGTTAAATTGAATTAAAATTTAATCTCTGTCTCTACTTTTTCTGATTAAAAACAAAACCCGTAGTTTGTCGATGGCTGGGAACTCAATGGTGAATATTTCCCCTCGTTAAGAGATCATCATCGTTCGTTGGAGGATAGAGTGCAGGAGTTTTGTAACAACTATAAACAATGGTAAGTAATTTTCTCGCTTTGGCATGGAAAATGCAGTTTGTTTTATGTTGAAAATAAGCACTACAAGGTAAATATATTTAATCATTTGAAAGTAGAAAATGAGAAAAATTCTTGGGAAAAAATGCTAATTGAATTAGCGGACCGAAAAGTAATAACATTACGAAGTTTTATCAGGTTAATATAGGGATATACCGAGCACAGGATAAAAGGGAACCCATCACACCGAATTCACGATTTATCCAAAGAGATTTTAAGTCTCAATGTTTTTATTAAAATTAGGTACTAAGATGAAAAATATCGGTCCACTCTTTCTGGTACTCCCGCCCCCCAAAAAGGGACAATATTTTAAATGATCAAAACTATAGTTGATTTGGTGGTTGTCTTTGATTAATAATGTTTTCAAGTATCATTTTGATTACATTTTACCAGATGCTTATGCTGTTGTAGTTTTTATACGACGTAACTGCAAAGAATTTTCAGATCCATATACTTGCAAATATTTGTATTCGACTTATATAGGATCTAGAATAGATTATGAATCTATTGTTCTAGAATTATATGTGGTGAATAATGGGATATGTGGGTCCACTGATACTTGTACTTTCCCCTATAAACGACGATAAATCTCAATAAAGCAAATGGAGCCGTAGTACTTTTTTTATCAAAATTAGGTCAGGTACAAAATTCATAAAATTGATTCACTTTTTTTGGGAGTGTTCTAATTTTGAACAATCGAAGCACCCAAAATATATGAAACTTGGCCGCTTTTCTTCTTTTTCGAGAAGGTCAAATATTTTTGTTAATCTATATACAGAGTGAGATGAAAAAAAACTGCAACGAAGTCAAACGCCATAACTTTTAATTTTTTTTTTTTCAAATTTTATTGAATGAAAGCAAAACATGTCGGAAATAGTATCAAATAGACTAAGTTTAGATTTGTTCCAAGTGGTCACCTTTGGCGCGAATTATGGCCTTCAAACGGCCAATGAAACCGCCAAACGCTGCCCAAATGTTGCTCTGTATTTAGGCCCATTCCCGGCGAAGCGCTTGCTTGAGGTGATCGACACTTTGGTATTTTTTAATGCCAACGTCGCTTTCCAAAATACTCCAGACACAATAGTCCAACGGATTTTGGTGGCCATTGTGCGCTGAAAATGAAGCGAGGAACCTCATTTGTAACCATTCTTGGGTGGCGCGTGCTGAGTCCTGTAGAAATGTCGAAGGTCTGCGGCCAAAATATTTGCATGCCCAAGGCTTTAACACACCCTTCAGAATATTTTTGCGGTAAGATTCGGCATTTATCCTGCGGCCACAATCGATTAATACGAGCGGAGAGTGACCATCGGCTGTTATGGCGGCCCACACCATCACCGTGGCCGGCGCTTGAGTTCTTGTGGCCATGCGAAGGTGCACATTTTCAGCTGACCTCTTTTGTTTGTTTACAAACTGCTGGACAACGAATGTTTTCTCATCGGAGAAAACGAAATTCGGCAGTTCACCACTTTCGGCCAAGCGAAGCAACTCTTTAGTTTTTTCTTGAGTCTATTTTCTTTCTGTTGCCGTGTAAGTTCTTGCGCTTTTTGGAATTTCAATGGCTTTACCCCGAGCTCATTTTTGAATGTCTGCCGAATGGAATATTGCCATATGTTCAGCTCAAGAGCCATTTTTCGGCCACTGCGACGCGGGTTTCGATCAAATCTCTTCTTTACATTTCGAACCATTTCTGCTGATGTTGCTGTTTTCTTCCCTCCACTTCCTTGACGTCGGGCTACGCTACCAGTATCACGGTAACGAGCAATGGAACGAGACACAAAAGATTTGTTCGCATTTAAGTGCTGGAGTGCTCTAACGATATCCACTTGTGGTTTTCCAGCCAAATATAATAAAATCACACCATCAGCATTTTTTTCTGGAAAATTCTCACCAAAATGCTTTTATACAATATAATGAGCTATCACTGGAAAAATTTTAACAGCTGTCGGACGAGTAGCTTAGAAATGGCAGCAGTCTGAAGTTGGTTGTAATTTTTTCATCTCACCCTGTATTTCAAACACATTATAAATTAAAGCATTACTTTTTTCAAGAAATTCTAAAAAAAATAAAAGCTTTCCATTATATTTATCACTAAAATTCTTTAAATTATTTTCAGGCCACGTCTTTCGAATAAAAAATTCTTCCGCTCCAGCCAAAATGCAGCACTTCTTCAATATCGCATACCGGTGAAAGGTAGTTTCATAGCCAATGTTCGTTTTCACAAAATCACACAGCGTAAGTTCAACAAATTACAAAATTACTTAAAACTGCCAATTTATTTTAAATTATACTATAATAATATATTACTTTCTCTCTTGGATAGCCTGTAATATTTTGGTCCAAGATATTGATGCCTTATACACTATTGGAAACTATGGCCACAATCGTAATTGTACCATATCGGCTCTATTTCCAGCTGTTGTTTCGGTGGCCAATCTTAAAATTGGTGGCAAAGCTGTACGGCAGGATAAACCGAATTATGATGTGGGTTGAAGAAAGAGGGGATTTGATATTGAAAATAAGAAAATTTTTAAAATTTTTTTTTAATTATTTTTCAGTGTGGCTTGTTTGCTGACCGTTTAGAAATTGGCGGTTCATCTGGTCTAGATTCGACGGCAATGGAAAAATCAAGTGAAATATGTGGATTGGCCACAGAGCCAGGTAAATATATATAAACAAATACAGAGTGAGATAAAAAACTGCAACGAACTTCAGGCTACTGTCATTTCTAAGCTACTCGTTCGACAAGCGTACAAACGCATTTTGGTGGAAATTTTCCAGAAAAAATTTGTTCGTGATGAAATTAAAGTGTGATAGTGTGATTTCGTTATATTTGGCTAGAAAACCACAAGTGGCTATGGTTAGAGCACTCCAGCATTTAAATGTTAATAAATCTTTAGTGTCTCGTACCATCGCTCGTTACCGTGATACTGGTAGCGTAGCCTGACGTCAGGGAAGAGGACTTATGAAAATAGCAACATCAGCAAAAATGGTTCGAAAGTAAAGAAGCGACTTGATCGAAAACCGCGTCGTAGTGACCGAAAAATGGCTTGTGAGCTGAACATATCGCAATATTCCATTCGGCAAATATTGAAAAATGAGCTCAGGGTAAAGCCATTGAAATTCCAAAAAGTAGTAAATAGACTCAAAAGACCTAAAGAGTTCATTTGCATGGCCGAAAGTGGTGAACTGCCGAATTTGGTTTTCTCCGATGAGAAAACATTCGTTGTCCAGCAGTTTGTAAACAAACAAAATGATCGTGATTACTTGCCAAAGAGGTCAGCTGAAAATGTACACCTTCGGTTGGCCACAAGAACTCAAGCGCCGGCCATAGTGATGGTGTGGGCCGCCATAACAGCCGATGGTTGCTCTCCGCTCGTTTGAATCGACCGTGGCATCAGAGTAAATGCCGAATATAATCGCGAAAATATCCTGAAGGGTGTATGAAAGCCTCAGGTACGCAAACATTTTGGCCGCACACTTTGAACATTCCAACAGGACTCAGCAACATTGCACTCAGCACGCGCCACCCAAGAATGTTTCCAAATGAGATTCCTCGCTTCATTTCCAAATCTAAACTAATTTAAGGAAATTTGATGCTATTTCCGACATTTTTTGCTTTCATTCAGCAAAATTTAAAAAAAAAATAATGTAAAAATTATGGCGTTTGACTTGGTTGCAGTTTTTTTTTATCTCACCCTCTATAATTAATTCTTTTTGTACTTTCAATTATATGTGTTTTTTTTTTTGTAGGACCCGAACAAGCCATCTTTTGTGGTGTTACCACATTGCGTTTAGTATCCACGGGACGTTTCCAAAATCAGGCGGCAGTAATGATACGCAAAGCTGACGAACATGATTTGGACAAGGCCACATTAATTTGTGCCCTATAAACGAATCAACGTTTCCAGCATTGCAAGCAAAACCAAATTAGAACATATTATTAACTAAAACAAGAAAAAAAAATATGAAATATTGCAGTATTATGTAGTTGTAGCTTTTATGACCCCAAACAAAATGTATCCAAATTTTAACCATCTTCCCCAGTACTCCCCCCTTACCAAGCCAACCATATATTATTTCCTATATAACATTATTGCTATTGGATTGTATTTTAAGTTAATTTTAATGTTAAATTTGAAATCACAATGTATATAAAACACAAATTATTTTATTTGCTTTTTACAGCCCAAATTTGTACGTTAAGAGATAGCAAAGGTTTTGGAAATAATTCTGAATAGTTTTTTATCTTATCAAAAAAAAGCATAAATCCTGAAATGGAAAGGTAAATCTGGGAAAATCCTTAGGATTGGTGTATTAAACATACAGTGGAATAGCCTTTTCTGAAATCAATATTTCACACGTTCCAAGAAATAAATGTGCTTTTTAATGCTAACTAATTTCTGGTCAGTACCTTGTCCTTTCACAGAACCACACATTTTTCATGCTAATTTTTTTAACATTTCAGATAAGCAGAATAATTTATTGATTCATTAGAATCAATAAATATCTCAGAATTATTTCCAAAAATTATTTTGCTTTGCAAACACTGCTCTTCCCTGCTATATAGCTAATTTATTAAAACAAGTCCCACATCTAAATAGTAGCGCCCATAAAAAAATACCAAATATAAGTCGTATCAGTTCATGAAATCTCAAACAACAATTTATTGGTCGATACAAAACAATTGATTCCATAACAGTATTAACAAAAAGAAATGAAATAATTCAAAAAATATACAACACGATTATATCTGTAAGTATGATTGCAACAATTGAAAATTAATAAAAAATAATTATCTGAATGTATTAAACGATGTGAGAATGTTTTATTACCCAAAAGGCTTTACTATGACAGAAAAAGTAATTGAGTTTACAATTCCGTAAGTGAATCGGAAGCACCTACCAAAAGGAATGAAGTACGAAGGAGAAATTTTATTAAAATGTGCCATAAATGCTTAAAGGTATTAACGTGGGTAGGTCCAAAATGTGGGTTTCAACAGATTTTATGGCAAACTTGCACCCTGGCAAAGAAACGTCCGTTTGCATGTTCCAAGCGGATTAGAACGAAGATATGAAATTTTCGTTAAATTGAATTATAAATCTCTAGAGTTTTGGTATAGAAAGTTGGCCAAATTGTGGTAAAGCTTCCATACAACGAAATAAGGTATTTTTAGACATACATTTTGCGGCTCGGAAGAGTAGAAACCACCCATACAAAGAACTCTTATCACCTTAGTCTTCTATATATATAAAAGAGTAAACAATTAGTTAAGAATTATCAGTCGGTTTTGCCGACAGATATATACTCCCAGCCATGTTGACTTCTGTTATGATTATTCAAATGATCTTGATCCTCTATGAAGATGGTTCAAAAGGATTGGACCAATATTGTCCATTTCGTATCGGACCTAAATAAACATGTTATAAATATTGGAACGTACCTGGTTTGAGCTATATTGGTTACATCCTTCACTTTATATGAGATATTTGTTAATTTTTAGAAAATGTGTGTCAGGTACCTATACAGGGTGAGATGAAAAAACTGCAATCAACTTCAGACTGCTGTCATTTCTAAGCCACTCGTCCTACAGCTGTTAAAATTATTCCATTGTTTGCAAGCGTACAAAAGCATTTTGGTGACAATTTTCCAGAAAAAATTATTCGTGATGGAATTCAAGCGTGATAGTGTAATTTCTTTATATTAGGCTCGAAAACCACAACTGGCTATCGTTAGCCACTGCAATCCAGCATTTAAATGTGAGTAAATCTTTTGTGCTCGTTGCCGTTGCTGGTTGCGTAGCCCGATATCAGGGAAGTGAGCTGAACATATCGCAATATTCCATTCGGTAAATATTGACCAGTAAAGAAAGCCTTAAAGTCGGACGGGGCCGACTTTATGATACCCTACACCACTTTGCTAATTTAGTAGAGCTCCGCATAACAATTAAAAGTTGTTATGGGAGAATTCAATCATACACGCTATGATTATTATAAGTTAGAGTTCAAAGAACTAAATATACCGAAGCATTTGTATCTTTTAAATTCGGATTTGTATTGCCCATTTAGTGCACAATTAATTTGAAATCGGACAAAGTTATATATGGGAGCAATATCCAAATCTGAACCGATCTCAAAAAAATTTAGCAAATGTATTTCTGAGCTGTATTCGATATATTTCCACAAATATTGTTTTTGCAGAGAGTATATTACGGCTGCGGAGCACAAAAATAACAAACCGGATGAACAATATATATGGGAGCTACAGCTATATCTGAACCGATTTCGATCAAATTTGGCATACTTATTTTCAGGCCTAATTTGGTTGTATGTGCAAAATTCCATACTATTCGGGGTGATATTACACGTTTGGTGCACAATAAAAGGCAAATCGGACGCAGATATATATGGGAGCTATATCTAAATTTTGACCCTGACCACCTTGTGGTGTAGGGTATAAAAAATTAACCAAGGGGTAAATTTCATTTTGAAATTGAAATTTCAAAAAGCGCAAGAACTAACACCGCAACAGAAAGAAAATAGACCCAAAAGAGCTAAAGAGTTGCTTCGCTTGGCCGAAAGTGGTGAACTGCCGAATTTGGTTTTCTCCGATGACAAAACATTCGTTGTCCAGCAGTTTGTAAACAAACAAAATTATCCTGTTTACTTGCCAAAGAGGTCAGCTGAAAAGGTGCATCTTCGGTTGGCCACCAGAACTAAAGCGCCGGCCATGGTAATAGTGTGGGCCGTCATAACAGCCGATGGTCGCTCTGCGCTCGTATTAATCGACCTTGGCATCAAAATAAATGCCGAATATTATCGCGAAAATATTCTGGAGGATGTATTTGGGCACGCAAACATTTTGGCCGCAGACCTTGGACATTCCAATAGGACTCAGCACCATCGCACTCAGCACGCGCCATCCAAGAATGGTTACAAAATGAGGTTCCTCACTTCATTTCCAGCGCACAATGGCCAACAAAATCTCCAGATACGAACCCGTTGAACTATTGTGTCTGGAGTATTTTGGAAAGCAAGGTTTGCACCAACCTCAAAAAGCGATTCGCCGAGAATGGGACAAAATACCGCAGAGCAACATTCGGGCAACGTGTGACGGTTTCATTGGCCGTTTGAAGGACTTACTTCGTGCCAAAGGTAACCAATTTAAACAAATCTAAACTTATTCTAAAATTTGATGCTATTTCCGAAATTTTTTGCTTTCATTCAATAAAAGTGAAAAAAATGTAAAAATTGTAGCGTTTGACTTTGTTGCAGTTTTTTTTATCTCACCCTGAATGTGTTTGAAATTTGGTTGTTGTTTGGAAATGCTTCCTATATTTGTACAAATTTTGTTAAATGATAATGAAATTGGTGTTGGGCTGAAATTCTCAAATTTGATATTGAGATCTCTGTTGGAAATTGAAATTGAGATGGAGGTGGTTTTGGAAATTTGTACTCTAAATGTTGTACGAAAAGTACTAAATTTAGTACCATAAGGCTGAGGGTATTAAAAGTAGCACATCTATATGGTTGTCGTGCGCAAAAAAATAAAGCTTACATTGTAAAATAACCTTGATGATTTGTGCCATCCTTTTCACCAGAATTGTTTGAAGTTTGGTATTTAGAGTTCGTAATTTACACTACCTCCAATGACAGAAAAGTGCTCATACAGACCCCATCTTCGTACAGCCCCCATAAAACCCTACCTCCCAATATTTGGTAATTTAAGGATTTTAACTACATTTTCAATATAATTATCATAAACTTGGTCTTTGGAGTTCATAATAGGCACCACCTTCTCCGGCAGATAATTGGCTGTAAAGGTCCACGTTTTCATATAGTCCCATATAACTGTAACACCTGATATTCGGAATTTTAACAAGAAAAAAAGCTGTAAGTTCGGCCGGACCGAACTTTGAATACCCTCTACCATTTGGAACGAATTTGGCAATTCTCAAAAAAAAAAAAAAAAAAACAATAAAATCCGAATGTAGCCTTAGAAATACCGAATGTAGCCGTTATATTAGGGTCAATACGACGACATAGAAATACCGAATGTAGCCGTTATATTAGGGTCAATACGACGACATAGAAATACCGAATGTAGCCGTTATATTAGGGTCAATACGACGACATAGAAATACCGAATGTAGCCTTTATATTAGGGCCAATACGACGACATGGACCTGCATAGGAATTTTTTTATAAGCCATTACAATATTCAAATGCGAGACTTAGAAAAAAATCTGTGAATAATGTAGCTACAGTCATCAAAATACCTATTATCGGGAGGTACCGTTATATGGAGGCTATACGAAGGCGTGGACCTTCACAAACATTCTTTTGTCTTAGGATTTAGTATTCATTGCGAACTTCAAATACCAAATTTGACACAATTCCGGTGAATAATATCGCTAAAATCATCAAAACACCGAAGATCGGGAGGTACCTTTATATGGGGGTCATACGAAGACGTGGACCTACACAGACAGTTTTCTGTCTTAGGCTGTAGTATCCATTACGAACTTCAAATAGCAAGTTCGAAACAATTCCAATGAAAAATGTCGCTAAAATCGTGAAAATACCGAATATCGGGAGGTACCGTTATATGGGGGCTATACGAAGACGTGGATCTGCATAGATAATTTTCTGCCTTAGGCTGTAGTATTCATTACGAACTTGAAACACCAATTTTAAAACAATTCCGGTGAATAATGTCGCTAAAATCATCAAAATACCGAATATAGGGAGGTACCGTTATATGGGGCTATACGAAGACGTGGGCCTGCACAGACAATTTTCTGTCTTAGGCTGTAGTATCCATTTCGAACTTCAAATGCCAAATTTAAAATAATTCCGGTGAATAATGTCGCTAAAATCATCAAAATACCGAATATCGGTAGGCACCGTTATATGGAGGCTATATGATAACGTGGACCTACATGGCCCATTTACGAAATTAACCTGCCTACTGGCAAAATATACATGTGTGCAACATTTTGGCCTTCTATCTTAATTCGTTCGAAAGATAGTGTGATTACAACATACAAACGTACAGACAGACCCACAGACAGACAGACATGGCTAAATCGTCTTAGAATTTTGCGCTGATCAAGAATATATATATACTTTGTTGTGTCTGACATGAGTATTTCGAGGAGTTAAAAACGGAATGACAACATTAATATACCCTCCATAGCATGGTGGAGGGTATAAAAATTATAGCGACATTTTTCAACGGATTTTTTTTCTACATTTGCAAGTTCCTTGGTGGAAGGTATTAAAAGTTTGGTCCGGCCAAATTGCCTTAATATCGGAAAATATAGGGCAATGTACTAAGTTTGATGAATATCTGCCACTTATTAACCATTTTAGTAGATTCATTATTTCAAATTTTGAGAGGAGCCAAAAGAACTGCGTCGATAAGTCCCAGAATGTTGAGGTATACGAAGTTTGAAAAAAAAATCGCTGTATTATTTCGCATGTCATGAAATAATTATTCATAATGTGGAACCTTTGTGGAGATGGTACTAACAAAAATGAAATTTTCAAGCGAAATTCTCTGAAAATATCAAAAAAAAAAAAAAATCCCATTACGGAGGAACCAGTTTTAACTTCGCCCGAAAATATTTGTTTCTTGTTTAAATGATGTTGACACAAACTTAAATACGGATTATTCTTTTATCATTTGACAAAGCCGCCAAATACTCGTCACGTTTGTAACGGTTTGACGGGAAACTTAAGAAAACATTTTCATCACATATTGTTATTCTCTACATATCAAAATCAACATTTTTTCTCACCCAAATCAAACTTAAGAAATTCTTCTGTTAAAACCCTTTCGTAAGTCTTTTACATAAAGCGTTGATTTTTCTTTGAGTTTTGTACGTCAAAGATCGATTTTTACCAACTAACTTGCCCACCAACCCACTACATGCCAAATTTGAAGGCCCCTGTCGGTCACTCATCTTTTTTATGTATAAATATAGAATACTATCATTGCCTTGGACTTCTTTAAAGTGATCGCTGGTGGCCTCATAACATAACTTTATCAAATTATTTATTGTGTTTGTTCACGTGAAATTGTAAAGCACTTGAGAACAATTACAAAAAAGGTCGAACTACCGTTTTGAAAATAGAAAATTCCCGTGAACATATGTACAGGTGTTATAAAATCGCCAACAGTTGTTGATAGTTAACAAATTTCTATTACCGGAGATTGATAAGATTTCTCGGTATTTGTTATGGTTACGGTCACTCTATAATTACTTCAAGAGCCAGAAAGAAACAACAACAACAACAACTATGCAGATTAACAATATCTTTATATACTACGTAGCCTATCTACCATATCGAAGAGTAAACCACCAACAAACACAGCTGAACTTTCCCAAACGATTTTTCTGATTAGCGTTTATGGACTTGTGATAGTGGCCTTAATCGTAGCTAATCATTGATACGGTGGTCGATGATGATAATGATTAGGACAAAATGCAAAAGATTTTTTTTTTAAATTATTAAGACCCGAATCTATAAATTATAGCGTTTGCATGGCGTTGGGGTTTAGTTGGTTTTTAAACCGTTTACTATTGCTTTAATCGGTCTGCGGTCTCAATCGACATGCGGATTTTGTTATTAATTTCAACATTGTTGGCCACCGCATTGGCCTTCAATTTACCAGGAATACCTACCGAATTTACAGCCAACGATGCTGTTCTATCTGCCATATCGGGTGAGTGATAAGAGACGGATGTGAAGCACAGACAAAGTAGAAATAAAGAGTGAATGATAGTTCTCAACTAAATAATATGGACAGACACGCCATATTTTACCGGTGACTTATGTTCCTGAAGGACTTTTATTAACCTGTTGAATAAATCGTTGAAAATACCGGGTGAGATACAAAACTGCAACGCCATAATTTTTAATTTTTTTTTATTGAATGAGAGCAAAAATTTCGGAAATAGTATCAAATTTTAGAATAAGTTTAGATTTGTTCGAATTGGTCACCTTTGGCACGAATTATGGCCTATGAAACCGTCACACGCTGCCCTAATGTTGATCTGCGGTATTTTGGCCCATTCCCGGCAAAGCGCTTGCTTGAGGTGATCGACATTTTGGTATGTTTTAGTGCCAACCTTGCTTTCCAAAATACTCCAGAAACAATAGTCCAACGGATTGGTATCCGGAGATTTTGGTGGTCATTGTGCGCTGGAAATGAAGCGAGGAACCTCATTTTGTAACCATTCTGTTGTAATTTACAAGGTCTGCGGCCAAAATGTTAGCCTGCCCAAGGCTTTAATACACCCTCCAGAATATTTTCGCGATAATATTCGACGTTTATTTTGATGCCATGGTCGATTAATACGAGCGGAGAGCGACTATCGGCTGTTATGGCGGCCCACACCATCACCATAACCGGCGCTTGAGTTCTGGTGGCCAACCGAAGGGGCACCCTTTCAGCTGACCTCTTTGGCAAGTAAACACGATCATTTTGTTTGTTTACAAACTGCTGGACAACGAATGTTTTCTCATCGGAGAAAACCAAATTCGACAGTTCAACACTTTCGGCCAAGCGAACAACTTGTTAGCTCTTTTGAGTCTATTTTCTTTCTGTTGCACTTTTTGGAATTTCGATGGCTTTACCCCGAACTCATTTTTCAATATTTGCCGAATGGAATATTGTGATATGTTCAGCTCACGAGCCATTTTTCGGCCACTGCGACGCGGGTTTTGATCAAGTCGCTTCTTTACTTTTCGAACCATTTCTGCTGTGTTACGTCCACTTCCTTGACGTCGGGCTACGCTACCAGTATCACGGTAACGAGTGATAGTACGAGACACAAAAGATTTATTCACATTTAAATGCTGGAGTGCTCTAACGATAGTCACGCTTAAATTCCATCACGAATAACTTTTTTTTCTGAAAAATTCTTACCAAAATACTTTTGTACACTTGTAAACAGTATAATGAGCTCTCATTGGAATAATTTTAACAGCTGTCGGACGAGTGGCTTAGAAATGACAGCACTCTGTAGTTTGTTGCAGTTTTTTCATCTCACTTTGTAGAGGAGTCTTACCTTTATTACAAAATTATTTAATTTTTATTTTTATCGTTCTAGATGACATTGCAAGAAAATTCGAAAATGAATATATGAAATATCTGAAGACAGGTGTCGAGTCTGCAGTTTTGAAACAAATCTCCACACAATTGTCCCAATCTCACAGCAAAAAGGACATTTTCGTTAAAGAAGTGCATGAACTGGGAGCTGTCGATCAGTTCTTTGTCTGTGTAACATGCCGTGCAACTCTGAATGTTATTGCCCGTTCATTCCGTGATCCAGAAGGTGAATTGACCGGACCCAACAATAAGCCGATTATGAAGAAAATTGTTCTTGACATTTGTGATCGTTTAAAAATCCAAACCGAAGAAGTTTGTGAAGCTCTCTTCGAATCTCATTGGGACATTGCTGAATATATTATAACAAACACCGTCATCGATTCGCGCGAAATGTGTGGCCTCTTTATGCAATTGAGTTTCTGTGATACGGGTAAACATCCCGACTACGAATGGTCTTTGGCCGTTGACCAGTCAGTGCCTGAAGCCACAGAACCCAAATCTGATATTCCCTCTAAGAGTGAAAAAGATTTGAAAATCTTACATTTAACTGACATCCATCACGATCCCTGGTACAAGGCTGGCGCATTGGCTGAATGTGATGAGCCGCTGTGTTGTCAACGTCATAGCGAGGTGGCAGAGGGTACCTCAAAGGCGGCCGGTTATTGGGGTGATTATCGTGAATGTGATTTGCCATGGCAGACACTTGAAAATGCTTTCGATCACATTAAAACCACTCATAAATTGGATTATATTTATCAAACTGGAGATGTGGTGGATCACATGGTGTGGGGTACTTCGGATGAAAAGAATGAAGATGTCTACAAGAATGTTATTGAAAAAATGTATGAAGTATTCCCTGATGTTCCCGTCTATCCAACAATTGGTAATCACGAATCGCATCCATTGAATATGTAAGTACAAAATTCGGAAAGGATTTTTAAGAATAATTACTTACTTCATAACTCATACGCCTCTGATATTTCTGATCTTATGGAGCGTATGATTACTGCCGTAACGTATACGGCGTCAGTAGGAAACGGCTAGCTTATTTTGTGCTTCCCCAAGGTATGTGAGGTATGTTTATGTTGTCGTTCAGTTTATAACCTCTGGCGATATTCATTTCAAAAATTTAGTTTTCGGGTCGTTGATATTGGAAAATTCATTTTACATTTTTATGCACACATAGGAAGGGTATATTAAGTTTGTCATTCCGTTTTAAGTTTGTCATTCACTCTAGCTTCCGAACGAAATGAAGTAGATAAATAAAATTTTATTGAAATGCATTTTAGGTCCATAGAATTGTTGGAATTGGAAATGGGCCGTATAGGAACACATTTTGATATAGCCTCGGTATATGTAACTGTACAAACAGATTTAAGGTGTCTTGGCGGTTTTAGTCATATTTTTGAATAGAATTTGTAAATTGGAAGTTTGAAGAATCCCTGGCATTCATGATAAATAAATTTGTAAAATATTTTGTCTTGGCATGATCTCCCATAAAGGAAGTTTTTAATCATATTTTGAATGAAAGGCCAAAAGGACCGCTTAGATGACTCGCTTTAGGGTTAAAAATGTCGGCCAAACTAATCCTCGTATTGTTATCTGTAATATTTCCGAAGATAGTATATATCTTACATAAAAGGATTCTTAGCTCGAAATTTTCTAAAAAATTTGGAATAGAGGTAACCCTCCATTTAGGCTACTTTGCGATGTGAACTTTGAAAATGCCGATACATGTGTCTTCTATTTTTAGCTCAGCTTTTATAAACGGCTGGACTTTTTCTGTAATTATTAAAAATTTTGAATTTTGTCGCACAGTGTAATTTTAACCTTGAAAATGGAGTTTTATTGATTTTATTTGTTTAAAATTGTTGTTCTATATGACAATAGCTATAACTTTGTTTAAGAGAGAAAACCTAAATTCGAAGTATTTTACAAGGCCCCAAATGTTGGTTACCTATGAAATATTTACCCTTTCCACCATAAAGTCTTCAAAATCTTTCAGTTTCAAAGTTTACCGAAGAGGATATTAGTAAAACCGTTCCACAATGGACCCATATCCAATTTTTCAGTTCAAAACTATTTGAATATATCCATAAGTAAACCCTAGAAACCAACCCTTCACTCAATACCAAATTTAGCAACATTTAGTATGAATATCCAGAACAATCTACATCTATCCATTCTAGACACCAACAGTGATCCAAAATGTGTACCATTTTGTATTTTCCGAACAATTATGGTAGGCATTTGCAAAACTACAGCAACAACTATTGTACGCATTTCCAAAACCACCTCCATATTTCAATCCTCAGATACTAACAGACCCCTTAATATCAAATTTCAGGCTTTCAGCTCTATTCCTTCATCCAATACCAGTTTTCGTGCTATTTAGTATTTTTCGTACAATTATTGTACACGTTTCCAAAACCACCTCCATATCTCAATCCGAGATACCAACAGAGACCTAAATATCAAATTTGAGGATTGCAGGTCAACCCCTTCACCCAATATCAAATTTAGTACTATTTAGTACATTTCGTACGAATGTGGGATGTATTTCCAAACTTCCAAATCTCAAACACAGATACCATGAGTAATCTATATATCAAATTTCAGAACTTTATCGCTATATTTTCACCCAATACCAAATACAGTACCATTCAGTACTTTTCCTACAATTATAGTACACATTTCCGAAATCACATTTCCGACAATAGCAAATTTCAAACTTCAAGCGCCATATATTCAACCAAAACCAAATTGCACCAAATTTATTAGCATTTAGCACATATTTCCATATTCCGAACTTTAATTCCTAAACCTACGACCAATAGGGGACCCCAATACTAAATTTCAAAATTCCAGCTTCATCCGTTCATCCAAAACAAAACTCTCCCAAATTTAATACCGTTTAGTACCGTGTGTAAACTTAGTTGACATTTCCAAGACAATATTTATATATATCAAACTTATTTTCAAACCTTGATACTCATGCCAAATGTCAAGATTTTAATGCCAAATTAGAACTTTTCGTAACCTTAAAGTTTCGTTACCAAAAACACTTTGGTACATCCAACATGCAAAAATCGATTTTATTAATTATTGACAATCGATCTAAAATCGGGTTTAATTTCGAATCGAAAATAGAGGATTAAGGACAAAATCGATAGATCCGATGGAAAATATTCTTTAACCAGTAAAGAAAGTCCTAAAGTCGGGCGGGGCCGATTTTATGATACCCTACACCACTTTGCTAATTTAGTTGAACTCCACTTAATAATTAAAAGTTTTTATGGGAGAACATACACGCTATGATTATAATTATAATTTAAAATTCAAAGGACTAAATATGCCGAAACATTTGTATCTTTTAAATTCGGACATGTATTGCCCATTTGGTGCGAAATTAATTTGAAATCCAAATCTGAACCGATCTCGATAAAATTTAGCAAAGATATTTCTGAGCTGTATTTGATATTTTTCCCTGAATATCGTTGTTATGGAGTGCATATTACGGCTGTGGGTAACAAATACAATAAATCGGATGAACAATATATATGGGAGCTATAACTATATCTAAACCGATCTTCACCAAATTTGGCATACTACCTTCTAGACTAAATTCGGTCGTATATGCCAAATTCCATCCCATTTGGACAAATATTAGACGTTTGGTGCACAATAAATGGTAAATCGGACGAAATTATATATGGGAGCTATATCCAAATCTGAACCGATCTCGATAAAATTTAGCAAAGGTATTTCTGAGCTGCATTTGATTTGGTAGTATGTGCAAAATTCCATACTATTCGGGCTGATATTACACGTTTGGTGCACAATAAAATGCAAATCGGACGAAGATATATATGGGAGCTATATCTAAATTTTGACCGATTATCTCCAATTTCAATAGGGTTCGTCCTTGGGCCAAACAAATGTTGTTTGCAAAATTTTATCTCAATCGGATAATAAATGCGACCTGCATTTTGTTACAAGAATACATGGACAGACGGACGGACGGACGGACGGGCAGACGGACTGACATGCATAAATCAACTCAGAAAGTGATTCTATGCAGATCATCAAAAGGAACTATGGGTCTATCTCGTTTCCTTTTGCCTGTTACAAACAAATGCACAAAGACATAATACCCTGACCACCTTGTGGTGTAGGGTATAAAAATTGCAGCTAAACCTACTACCCACTAATGCTATTTATATTTTTATATTTCTCTCCCTCTCTCTCCCTCCTACGTAGGTTCTCGCCAGACTATGTGCCGGAATATGTAAATACCAGAAAATTATACGAAGTTTTGTATAACATTTGGTCGAAATATTTACCCGAAGATACCAAGAGCACGATTCTCAAGGGTGGTTACTATACGACATTGGTCAAGCCCGGTTTCCGTATTATTGCGCTGAACAACAACGATTGCTACACCGATAATTGGTGGATATTCCACAATGGTACCGATATGAAATCCCAACTGCAATGGCTGCACGAGGTTCTTTTGACCGCTGAAAAAGCCAATGAATATGTTCACATCTTGGCTCACATTCCCTCGGGTGATGGCACCTGCTGGAAGGTGTGGTCTCGTGAATATAATCGTATTATTGCCCGTTTCCGCAACACCATCAGTGGTATTTTCAATGGCCACACCCACAAAGATGAAATGAATGTTCATTATTCGAATGGCCATGCTGTGGGTATTTCATGGAATGGTGGTGCCCTGACCACATGGACCGATAAGAATCCCAATTATCGTGTCTATCAGGTGGAGCCAAGCAGTTATGTAAGTTGGAAAGCCTTAACACAAAAAAAATAGGTGCTTTAATTAATTTAATTTGTTGTGAATTTTTACAGCAAGTTGTTGACCATGAAACCTGGATTTTCAATTTGACTGAGGCCAACAATGCCGGCAAAGATGCCAGTCCCAATTGGTTCAAGGAATACACATTCTCAGAAGAGTTTACCAGCAATTTGAGTCCTGCCTCAATTGATTCATTCTTGGATAAAATGGCTGAGAATCCCGATCTGGTTAGAAAGGTAAGGAGCAATAATTTCTTTTTTTAAGTAAATCTAATCATTTCAATCCCCTTTTCCAGTTCTGGCGCTACAAAATGACATCTGCTGATCCCAGATTAGCAGAAGGTTGTGGAAAGTCCTGCCTTCTGAGCACTTTGTGTCGCATCGCCACCTCGGTGAATGATCAGAAGACACGTTGCGAAGAGCTGAAAGCCAAACTAAGTGTTGCGGTAGGTTTTTGAAAGAAAATATAAATATTTTTGCCATTCTCATCATTTGGCCTCTCTCTATTTCAGATCGACAATGAAAACAACAGCAGTTCCGAAGGTACGACCGCCGGTACAACTGCCAGCACTGCACCTACTCCAACCGGATCAACGACAGAATCTAATCCAAGCACAAAACCCCCCGGTGGTGGTGGTGATGGTGCCATGTCAATTACTGCCATTAGCCTGACATCATTGCTGGCCGCTCTCTTTGCCATCAAATGTTTGTTCTAAATTGTAAATTGAGATTATGACTGGAGAGAATTGCAATTGTTTTACGAAATAAAATAATTGAATAATTTTACTTAGATTTATTTAAAACATGTTGTGGTTTTTTAGGGAAAAATAAGTTTTCCAATTTCTACTCCAAATCCACAAAAATCGGAAATATTTTTCGTCCGGGTGGAAATTCTTTGCTACTTAGGGCCTGCTTGTTGTTAACCAGAACTTAACGCCAACCCCTTGATGTAGGTAAAGCCCCGTTGTTCCACGTTTAAAAAAATTAAACTTGACAAGTTTCTCCTACCGTTCCGAAACTTAATACACTGAAACACATTGAATATCTGGGCTTTTAATTTGTTACAAACAATTTCAATTGAGTTAATCCGACACCAAAGGTTAACTCTGCAACCAAATTAAGTACGGAAATCCGTATTGTCTTATCTGCAACTCCGCTGGATGTCACCACCCACCAATGACCTCTATTTCAATGTGGGCAATATCAGAGTAAGGCAGCCACCACGCTTACAACGTTCGCCTATGAAACTAAAATAAATCGTATGCGTTAAGTAAAACGTCAAGTGCAGAAATATATTCAGTTGACATTTTCATCTAAGCGAGTAGAAAACCACTAAAGCGGTATGAAAATAGTTTCAAGTTTAATTCTGATTTTCGGTTTGAGTTTCTTTGGAAGAGTGGTGGTAGCTTCCAATTTTATTGAGGTTGCGAGGAATTCCAATGCAAGCGATGAGGAATTGTCAACTGCTTCTGGTAAGTACGAGAACAGGGGGAATTATTTGTCCTAGGAAACTATTGTATCAGAGTCTGAGAATTTTTATCTGTAGAAAACAGAGTCTACAGATTATACTGTGTTTAATTTGTATACTACCCATATGGCCACAGAGGGTATAAATCACTTGATACGGCCATAACTTGGCTCATCGAAATAAAGGTTTTTAACCCTAGGTCTCTTAGGACCGAATTCGTATCAGGACATTTGGAATCGATGGACTAGAGGTGTCCGTCCCGTCCATCTGTCTGACTCTCGAAAGTAGTATTCGATCTGGTCCAAACTTGGTGCATTATAATATTATTATTAAACTTCGTTGACATTCGAAAATGGGCAACATCGGTCCACTCCTGATACCTCCACCACAAAAGTTGAAAATTTTCACGGAAAAAAATTACCATATAGATCAAGAAATTGTAATGCGATTTCATGAAAACTATGCAAATCCCAATACTTTTATCAGTGCTACGTCAGGTGCTAAATTGGACAATATCGGCCCACCCCCTCAAGTTCCTTACCCACAAAGAGTCATCATTTTGAATAATTATAATTCTTATGAAATTTGAAATAAGAGTTCGATTCCAATTTCATACATGCCAATATCTCCTCCAACATAAGATATGCCCACCGTCGACTTACAAAACAAGTCAATCTTGATGTATCTAAATATCTGGCATATTTGAATATTTCTCCCAACAAGAGAACTGATGTAAATATGGAATTTATCGAGGAACTCCTTTGTGGTTTTCCCACAAATTTTGCAATTTTTATTAGCAATTCGAATAAAATTAGAAATAAATTTTCGATTTCCTTTAAATTTTGCACATTCCAATAGTTTTGATCAATATTAGATGAAGTGTAATACGCATGAATACGCATCACAATATATTTATATAAATGAACATTGGCTGAGGACATACATACAACTGCACAAAACCTATTACCGAATACTCAAAAGGAAGGAAGAATTATCAAAACAGTGATTATTCTTCAAATATTCCCAAATTTTCAGAAGAACAAAAAACAAATATGTTTAATAAAAATTTACGATTTTCGGTCAGCTAGTATCCATTTAACGTTAATCAACATTATCTCGTTTTTTATACCCTCCACCTCCAGTATGGAGGCTATATTAAGTTTTTCATTCCGTTTGTAACACCTCGAAATGTAAATTTTAGACCCCACAGAGTATATATATTTTTGATCAGCATAAAATTCTATGTCGATTTAGCTATGTCCGTCCGTCCGTCCACTCTAGCTTTCGAACGTTATGAATTAGATTGATAAAATTTTACTCAAATGTATATTATGTATGCAGGACTTTGGTATTGAAAATGGGCCATGTAGGTCCACGTTTTGGTATAGCCCCCATATAACGGCACCTTCTGATATTCGGTATTTCGATGATTTAAGCGACATTATTCACCAGAACTGTTTCAAATTTTGTATTTGAAGTTCGTAATTAGGTATTACACCCTATGACAGAAAATTGTCTGTGCAGGTCCACGTCTTCGTATAGCCCCCATATAAAGGTACCTCCCGATATTGGGTGTTTGATTATTTTTGCAACATTATTCACCGGAATTGTTCCAATTTCCGTATTTGAAGTTCGTAATGGATACTACAGCCTACGACAAAAAATTGTCTGTGCAGGTCCACGTCTTCGTATAGCCACCATATAACGGTACCTCCTAATATTCGGTATTTTAATGATTTTAGAGACATTATTCACCGGAAGTGTTTCAAATTTGGTATTTGAAGTTCGTAATGGATACTACAGCAGAAAATTGTCTGTGCAGGTCCACGTTTTGGTATAGCCCCCATATAATAGCACCTCCTTACATTCGGTGTTTTGATGATTTTAGCTACATAATTCACCGAATTTTTTTTTTTCAAGTTTTGCATTTGAATATTGTAATAGCTAATCACAAAAGTTGCATATGCAGGTCCACGTCGTCGTATAAACCCTAATATAACGCCTCCATTCGGTATTTTTAAGATTTTAACAGGATTTTATTTTTTTGAAAATGGCTTTTATGGATGGATTTTATTTTTTTTCTGAGCTATATTTGATATATTTCCCTGAATATCGTTGTTACGGAGTGCATATTACGGCTGTGGGTAACAAATACAATAAATCGGATGAACAATATATATGGGAGCTATAACTATATCTGAACCGATCTTCACCAAATTTGGCATACTACCTTCTAGACTAAATTCGGTCGTATGTGCCAAATTCCATCCCATTTGGACAAATATTAGACGTTTGGTGCACAAAAAATGGTAAATCGGACGAAGTTATATATGGGAGCTATATCCAAATCTGAACCGATCTCGATAACATTTAGCAAAGGTATTTCTGAGCTGCATTTGATATATTTCCCCAAATATTGTTGTTACAGAGTGCATATTACGTCTGCGGAGGACAAAAAAAAACAAATCGGATGAACAATATATATGGGAGCTATAGCTATATCTGAACCGATTTCGATCAAATTTGGCATACTTATTTTCAGGCCTAATTTGGTTGTATGTGCAAAATTCCATACTATTCGGGCTGATATTACACGTTTGGTGCACAATAAAAGCAAATCGGACGAAGATATAATTTTGACCGATTATCTCCAATTGCAAAATTTCATCTCAATCGGATAATAAATGCGACCTGCATTTTGTTCACAAGAATACATGGACAGACGGACGGACGGACTGACATGCATAAATCAACTCAGAAAGTGATTCTATGCAGATCATCAAAAGGAACTATGGGTCTATCTCGTTTCCTTTTGCCTGTTACAAACAAATGCACAAAAACATAATACCCTGACCACCTTGTGGTGTAGGGTATAAAAAGCTAAAACGACAAGTGATCGTTGTCCTAATGTCTGTAATAGAGTGCAATTTGAAGTTAAGAAATGGAGGAATATCTCAGACGTAAGCAATGGACTGAAGTCCTTAAAAAATGATTTTCCTGCGTATAGGATTTTTACCAAAAATGGGGAGGTAAGCAGTTTAACCTGCCTTCTGGAGGTTTAGAAAAAAAAATTTCTTTGGGAATTCTAACAAATTTCTCAAAAATTTACTATATTTAGTCAGGACTAAAAAAATTAAAATTCACAATTTTTGTCTAAAACAATTCAAAACCAGTAAAGGAAGGTCAATAGTCAGACGGGGCCGACTTTATGATACCCTACACCACTATGCGTATGTAGTTTAGCTACCCGCAACATATAAACGTTTATATGGGAAATTATATAATGTATATCACACCAACTATGATAGTTTTTATGGCTTTTGAACAGTTATAAATTGAAAACGAAAGGAACTAATATATGGGAGGTATATCCGGCTCTGAGTCGATTTCCACTAAATTATATATTTCCACTAAAACATATATATCGAGCTATAGCTTTATCTGAACCTATTTTCACCAAAATCCATTTGAACTGATATTACTCTTTTGGTGCACAATAAAAGTGAATTCGGATGAAGATGCCGGCTGTCAGAATCTCTTATAACTTATATATGATCATGCATATATCTGAGCCGATTTTTACCAAATTCCACCCAATTTTGAATAATAATGCCCATTTGGTGCACAATAAAAGATAAATCGGACGAAGATATATATGGAAACTATATCTAAATATTAACCGATTATCTACAATTTCAATAGGGTTCGTCCTTGGGTCAATCAAATGATTTGTTAAAAATTTAATCTCGATCAGACAATAAATGCAACCTTTGTTTACAAAATTACATGGATAGACAGACGATCGAACATACATATATCGACTAAGAATCTGATTCTATGTAGATTGTCAAAGGAAACCATGTGTCTCTCCCGCTTCTTTCTCTCAATGTTACAAACAAACGCACCAAGACATAATATCCTGATCACAGTGTGGTGTAGGGTATAAGGATATAGGATTTTTTCCACAGAAGGACTTGTAAAAAAATGGTAAAAAGTCCAGGATATTGCTTGGATGATTTTGAAAATGTTTAAAACAAGTAGAAATGTTGACACCATTGACCATTGCCGACTACCTATATAAAACCCATATAATGACTAACAGAAGAAATATAAAAGTTCTTCAATCTATACAAGTTGCTTATTAAAGACCTATAAAAGGTATTCTGTAAATGGTATCCTGTAACTATTCTACTATTTATGACTCATAAACATTTATATGGTTATCCCTCTTTTCGTAAAGGCCCTACGGAAAGATATTTTTCTAAGGGATTTAATTTATTTCTAGATAATCTGTAAGGGTGGAGTTGTCTTAAGAAGTCCCACGGAAAATCCGTATTAGTCCCTTATTTGATCTTAAGGACCTAAGGAGGTCTGCTTTCCGTGAACGATAAATAGTCATTATTTTTTCTCTTTTTTGTAGAAGATTTAGCCCAAAAATATGCCGAGGAATATCTGCGCTTCGTTGAAACCGGCAAAGAATCAAAAGATTTAATCGACTTGACAGCCCAGCTTAGAGAAACTCAAGGAAAGGAATGTCTATTTCGTAATCTTCCCCAACAATTGGATGAGGCACAGGAGTTTTTCACCTGTACTACATGTCGGATAGCTGTACACATCATAGTTTGGGTATTACGTACCGCTGTTAGCAATGAACAAGCTGCCGAACTGGCCAAAAAGGCCTTCATCTATTTTTGTTCAAGTGTACAAATTCAAACAGCTCCAGTTTGCGAGGGTCTATTTAATTTAAATTGGCCTATTCTATATTTTATACTGATGAATTCCAACATAAGTCCAAAGACAATCTGTGGTTTCCTACCGATACAATTTTGCCGCTTCGAACAGCCTGGATTTAATTGGATTCTAAATATTGATAACAGCAAATGGCCTTTGCTGGCGCCCAAGGCGGATGTGCCCCGAAAGACTCCTTTTGATTTGAATATTTTACATTTAACGGATATACATAACGATCCGGAATATATGGCCGGTTCGTGGGCCGATTGCAAAGAGCCGATGTGTTGTCGTGCCTCTTCGACTGTAGCAGGTAAAGAGTCAAATCAATCAAGGGCTGGGTATTGGGGTGACTATCGTAATTGTGATGTACCTTTGTATATGGTAGAGAATGCCTTGGAACACATAAGGAGTGAAAATGGAAGAATTGATTATATCTATTATACCGGAGACATAATGCCGCATAATATATGGTCCACCACCAGGGATGGAAATTTGGAGTTGATAAGCCAAATATATGGACTTTTGGAGAGAAGATTCCCTGGAATTCCAGTGTATCCATGTGTGGGAAATCATGAAATGCATCCAGTTAATACGTGAGTATTTCTTTTTTTTTATTTGAAATTTTAAACATATTTCCCATTTTAGATTTGGCCATGAAAACGTGCCAAGCGAATTCCATCCATTTTGGCTGTATGAACATTTGTGGTCAACATGGCAGAGATGGCTACCGGCAGACACCAAAGAGACCATTATCAAAGGTGGTTATTACACCGTCTCCCCGCGACCTGGTTTTCGTATAATTTCCCTAAACAATATTGATTGTTATCTCCTCAATTGGTGGATATACTATGATGGTGGCAATCACACAAGCATTCCACAGTTGAATTGGTTACATGATACCCTTTTGAAGGCTGAGGAAGCAGGCGAATTTGTTCATATACTAATGCATATACCATCGGGAGATTCTCAGTGCTGGACGGTGTGGGCCAGGGAATATAATCGTGTTGTTGAACGTTTCAGTCACACAATTGGTGGTATCTTCAATGGTCATACCCATCATGATGAATTTGAAGTACATTATTCGTCGAAGGGTTATCCCATGGCCATCTCATGGAACGGTGGAAGTTTGACGGCATATACAATGAAAAATCCAAATTATAGGATATATGAAGTGGAACCAAAGACATATGTAAGTAAAGCATATATAAAATGAGATAAATAACAAACATTTGATAGATACGCCAGGGAGCCGCTCTGTCCTTCCTCATCTACAATTCTTATTTCAATAGGCAACAATAAAAATAAAATTTTTTGTCTATTTCAAAATAAGTAGTTCCTAAACTTTTTGTATCCAAAATATTTTCGTTTACAGCAAGTTGTTGATCATTCCACCTGGATATTCAATTTGACCGAAGCCAACGCATATGGCGACCAACGTTCTCCCCAATGGTTTAGGGAATATCAATTTTCTGAATTCACTGAAAATTTAAGTCCAGCTGGAATAGATGCTTTACTCGACAAAATGGCAACAAATCCAGAGATCCTACGTCAGGTAGGTACAATGGACATATTTCACAAATTGTTAAAAATATATATAAAAATTATAATTTCTTACAGTATTGGAAATATAAAACGTTGTCCTCAGATCCCCTTTTAGATATGGGATGTAATAATACCTGCCTCTTGAATACCATTTGTAATCTGGCAACATCAGTTTACAATCAAAAGGAACGTTGCAAAGAACTGCAAGCAAAATTAAAAACGGCGTTGAGTTCGGAATAAAATATTTACTTTTTATTTTACTTCATAATTATGTCCATATATAAAAGTAATAATCGTTTTTAGTAAAAAAATAATATTTATTTGAGTTTTATGAAAAGTTTGATCAATTGTGCCAGAAGAAGTGAAACGATGTAGGGAATAGAACGGACACAAATGTTCAATAGTCCATCCTAAATTATATATCGTAGATCCATAATGATATTGGGGTATTATGATGTTTGAATTTTAAAAGAATTGTCTGGGAAAATGCGAAAGACATCATAGACAGCATCATAGCAAATGTCATTTCTAAGCCACTCGTCCGACAGCTGTTAAAATTATTCCAGTGCAAAAGCATTTTGGGGAGAATTTTCAAGAAAAAAAAGTTATTCGTTATGGAATTCAAGCATGATAGTGTAATTTTTTTTATATTTGAGTGGAAAACCACCAGTGGCTATCGTTAGAGCACTTCAACATTTAAATGAATCTTTTGTGTCTCGTACCATCGCTCGTTACCGTGATGCAGGCAGCGTAGCCCGATGTCAAGGAAGTGGACGGAAGAAAACAGCAACATCAGCAGAAATGGTTCGAAAAGTAATAAAGCGACTTCATCGCAGTGGCCGAAAAATGGCTCGTGAGCTGAACATATCGCAATATTCCATTCGGCAAATATGGAAATATGAGCTCGGAGTAAGGCCATTGAAATTCCAAAAAGTACAAGAACTTACACCGCAACAGAAAGAAAATAGACTCAAAAGAGCTAAAGAATTGCTTCGCTTTGCCTAAAGTGGTGAACTGCCGAATTTGGTTTTCTCCGATGAGAAAATATTCGTTGTCCAGCAGTTTCTAAACAAACAAAATGATCGTGTTTACTTGCCAAAGAGGTTGGCTGAAAATGTGCACCTTCGGTTGGCCACTAGAACTCAAGCGCCGGCCGTGGTGATGGTGTGGGCCGCCGTAACGGCCGATGGTCGCTCTGCGCTCGTATTAATCGATTTTGGCATCAGAATAAATGCGGAATATTATCGCGAAAATATCCTGGAGGGTGTATTAAAGTCTTGGGCAAACATTTTGGCCGCAGACCTTGGACATTCCAACAGGACTCGCACTCAGCACGTGCCACCCAAGAATAGTTACAAAATGAGGTTCCTCGCTTCATTTCCAGCGCACAATGACCACCAAAATCTCCGGATATCAATCCGTTGGACTATTGTGTCTGGAGTATTTTTGAAAGCAAGGTTGGTACTAAAAAGTACCAATGTGTCGATCACCTCAAGCAAGCGCTTCGCCGGGAATGGGAAAAATATCGCCGAGCAACATTCGGGCAGTGTGTGACGGTTTCATTGGCGTTTGAAGGCTATAATTCGTGCCAAAGGTAATCAATACGAACAAATCTAAACTTCTTCTAAAATTTGATGCTATTTTTGCTTTCATTCAATAAAATTAAATGTAAAAATTATGGCCTTTGACTTTGTTGCAGTTTTTTATCTCACCCTCAATATGGGTAAACCTTCGTTTACGTTTTAGTCATAATTTCTATACAATTTCCGTATTTTGTGTATTTATACCCTCCACCATACACAGCATGTAGGGTATATTTTGTGCCAATCCGTTTTCAATTCAACGAAGCATTTTCGACCCCACAAAGGATATATTCTTGAGTAGCAAAAAATCTATGTCGATTTCCCATGCCCATCCGTCTCTCTGATCCTGGAAATCACTCTAGTTTTCGAACGAAATAAAGTAGGTTCATAAATTTTTACTCAGATTTGCTGTAAGTCTGCAGGACTGTTCCAATTTATAATGGGCTATATGGGTCCACATTTTTGTATAGGCTCCATATAACAATTATAAACCGAATTGGTTGTAAATTGGTAGTATGTATTCCCAGTATGTAGGAGTCATCCTTGCCGAGAACTGTACATATAGGTACATGAGTAATTTTGACGGCATTTTTCAATTTAATTGTGATAATCTTGGTGTTTGGAGTTCGTATAGGCACCAGGATAATTGATAATTGGCTGTAAAGATCCACGTTTTTGTGTAGCTTCAAACAACTTCAATACAGGGTTGTCCATATTCGACGGACCCATCTGGCAACGCCATAACTTTTGACAGAGATGTCACATCGCTTAATTACATACCGCGTTTGAAGCGTCAGTCTAAGCAGATTTTTACCATGAACCAATACACGCCACGCGAGCGCTCTGAAATAGTTGAAATTTACAAGAAGTCAATTGTGAAAACTCAACGTGCTTTTAAAACATTAAAAAATGTGAGAAGTGCGCCTTCTAAGAACACCATTAAGCGTTTATACGAAAAATTTTCGAGTGGTAAGGCTCTTTCTAATCCGAAGAGGCCATATAAAAGTCGACCAAGGCGATCGGCCGAGAATATCGTTGCCGTACGAGCCAGTGTTTAGAGGTCCCCAAGAACATCAACGCCGTTCTCAGCAGTTAGGCATGGCTCGGTCCACTTTACAACGGATTATTCGCATTGATTTGCATTTGTTCCCGTACAAAATTCAATTGACGCAAAGAATGTTGCCTGCGGACAAGCCTCGTCGATTGGAATGGGCCCAAAGGGCCCAAAGGTCCGTCGAATATGAGCAACCCTGTATGTGATATGTGAAAATGAAAAGCTTCCGAACGCAATGAAGTATGTTGATAACATTTTATTCGAATGTATATTATGTATGCAGGACTTTTGGTATTGAAATTATAATGGTAGCTCCCTATTTTCGGTATTTTGGTGACATTATTCAACGGAAATGTTTCAAATGGATACTACAGCCTATGACAGAAAATTGTCTGTACAAGTCCACGTCCTCGTATAGCCTTCACCGGAATTGTTTCAAATTTGATATTTGAAGTTCTTAATTAATACTACAGCCTATGACAGAAAATTGTCCGTTCAGGTCCACGTCTTCGTGTAGCCCCCATGTAACGACACCTCCCGATATTCGGTATTTTGATGATTTTAGCGACATTATTCACCGGAAATGTTTAAAATTTGGTATTTGAAGTTCGTAATGTAAACTACAGCCTATGACAGAAAAAATATCTGTGCAGGTCCACGTTTTGGTATATCCCCCATATGATGGTACCTCAATATACTCGGTATTTTGATAATTTTAGCTACATGATTCACTGATTTTTTTTAGTCTCGTATTTGAATATTGTAACAGAATTTTTAACGGATTTTATTTAAAAAAAATGCCTAATTCGTTCCATATAGTGGGGGGTATTCAAAGTAACGACATTTTTCAACGAAATTTTTAGCATTTTGTAAGTATTCTTCAAATGGTGGAGGGTTTTGAGCGGGCTGAACTTATCTGCTTTTTTACCTGTTATTATATAAAATTATTTATTAAAATTGAATAATTACGGAAAATTAACAATAGAGTTCCTGGTTTTAGTATATATTTTATATCCCTAGTCATTGTGTCTCCTTTATTGGAATGTGTAGTGACTAATGCTACTTGAGTTTAATAAAGTTGATCTACATATCGGTAGATGGCCTACTCTAATACCGAGTACCACAGTATATTCATCGGGGTAACCACCGAACCCTCATGGCAAGCGGTAGGCTGTTAGCAATTGAAATTTGTGAATATTTATTAACATCATTGCCAGGCTCCCCTACCGCAAATAAGGATCATAGAAATTTGTATAATTAGATCATAGAATTAGTATATATACTTCAGATGGAGCAGAGAAAGATACAATTATTTTTTGTACATATTACCTGATTAAGACTATTAAGAGAATATGACTCAGTGGAAGGTGGAAGAAAAGAACCCTAACGTTATTCGATTTCATTGTCTTATAAAAATGATCAAACTATTATGGTTTGGCAAATGTTCTCCAACTAATGACAAGTATTTCAATTCCTTCCCCCTACTTTCCTATACCAAAGCTTTCCTAGGATTTTAGACCAAAAAACAACGGAATAGTGGTATCCGAGTAATTTGTACTGACGAGAAAATGTTTGCAGTAGGAATTTGAAAAATCTTAGGGCCAGACAATATTCTATTAATAGGAATGAATCAATTTTCATGTAGCTCAGGACCTTAGCCATTTCGTTAACAGCAAACAAACCACTTACCCCCAACGTGCTTGCAAACAATGATATTTAAATTTGTTGCTTATAACAAGAAATAACTTTCGATAAGCCTTATACATAATACAATGCCGATGTAGTTTTTTTTTTTTTTTTTTTTTTTTTTTTTTTTTTGTTGGTTCAACGAAGTAATCTGCCAATGTTTAATCTATATTATAGCCATATTATTTATTAACTTTTCTGCTTAACAGACGTGCCTTTTTAATAAGCAAATTGAAAAAGAGGAATTTAGTCCGTCTTTAGACTCGAAACGATTAGCACGTTTTTTGGCAATGTTACGGAAATTCTTAATTCTGGCCCTATTGGCCATTACAACAAGTGCTCTGAACTTACCCGGTGTACCAGTTGAGTTTACCGAAGATGATGCAGTTATTTCGGCTATTTCGGGTGAGTTATTATTTTGCTGAAAAGAAAAAAAAACACAAAGAGGTTTACACAAACTATTGTGTTGAAAATATTGTTGTTATATTTAAGGAGCCTTAATCTGGAGGTGGATAAAATTATTGTTTCTATAAAAAAATTAAAAAAAAAATCATCAGAAAATGTTTAAAAATGTAAAGTTTTTTTTTGGCAAAAGTATGAAACTTCTCGAGAAAATCCTTTAAAATATAATCATGAGAAATCTTGCCACCTGAAAAAAAAATATATAAACATGCCCAAAAATTGGTCCAAATAGTTAGTTTTATAGGAGTATCACGATCTTTTAAAAAATTTGATTTGTTTTCATCCTAGAAAGAATAAAGTTGGTTTGAATTGGAATATACGTGAACTAGAAAGAAAGTTGTAGTAATCACCATTTGGAACCAATTTGGAAATTTTCAAAAAGCTAAAAATTCTGTTAAAATCTTAAAAATACTGAATGTAGTTATTAGGGTCTATACGACGACGTAGACCTGCATAGGCAACTTTTGTCATAAGCCATTACAATATTCAAATGCGAATCGGTGAATAATGTTGAGAAAATTAACAAAATACGGAATATAGGGAGCTACACCAAAACGTGGACCTGCACAGACAATTTTCTGTCATAGGCTGTAATATCCATTACGAACTTCAAATATAAAATTTGAAACAATTCCGGTGAATAATGACGCTAAAATCATCGAAATACCGAATATCATTTCGTTCGGAAGCTAGAGTGATTTCCACAGACGGATAGACAGCGCTAAATCGACAAACTTAATATACCCTCCATACTATGGTGGAGGGTATAAAAAGTGAGGAAAGGTTTTAAAGACAGAAGTATAGTTTGCAGGTTGGTCTGTCTAGGCGTGGTCGAAGAACGTTAGGGTTTCTATCTTTCACCTGTCAAATAGTCTATGTTTCTTGTTAGATAACTTCTGCATAGTAGGTGAGGATCTCTATATCTTCTTTATCTTTACATAGTCCACAGTAGTCAGGATCACTGTTATCCACCTTGAGCTAAGATATCTGATATGCAGTGCCCAGTCAGTATACCTACTACAATTCTTAAATCAGAACTATTATGTGATTAAAAGGAACTTGTTCAACTTCTGGGGATTACCGGATGGCCTTAGAAAGTCATGAATGGCTTTTGGGCCGTCTGATTATCGACACATACAGGGTGAGATAAAAAAAAACTGCAAAAAAGACAAAAGCCAAATTTTTAATTTTTCTTAATCTGCGGCCAAAATGATTGTAAGCCCAGGGCTCTAATACACCCTCCATTTATACTGATGCCACGGCCGATTAATACGAGGAGAGAGCAACCTTCGGCTGTTTTAGCGGCACACAACATCACCATGGCCGACGCTTGAGTTCTAGTGGCCAGACAAAGGTGTTCATTTTCAGCTGATCTCTTTGACAAGTAAACACGATCATTTTGTTTGTTTTCAAACTGCTGACAACAAATGTTTTCTCATCGTAGAAAACCGAATTTGGTAGTTCACTAATATCGGCCAAGCGAAGCAACTCTTTAGCTCTTTTGAGACTTTTTGGAATTTCAATGGCTTTACCCCGAACTCATTTTTCAATGGAATATTGCGATATGTTCAGCTCAGAAGCCATTTTTTGGGCACTGCGAAAATTCTCACCAAATTCCTTTTTACGCTTTTAAACAATATAATGAGCTGTCACTGGAAAAATTTTAACAGGCTTAGAAATGACAGCAGTCTGAAGTTGGTTGCAGTTTTTTATCTCACCCTGTACATCCACAATAAAGTGGTCACTAATCAAATATAACTAAAATACTCCGCCAATTGTATCGTTTCTAAAATGTGTATTTTGGTCATAAATCCAAAATAATTTTTTCAAAATATTCAAATCTACATTGCGATAGATTGACGTTATTAAAAAACTTATATTTAGTAAATATCAGATCAGATTAAGCATTGGCACTTAAGATAAACGTGTTACTACCTGTGTTAGTATATCATCATGTTGATAAAATAAAAGTGTGTTGTTGTTGTTGTTTTACTTTCCTTATAAATGAACTGTGTACCTCGTTATCTATAAAGTTTGCTACTACAACACCTGGCAAAAACAAAATTCATATGCTAATTAAAAACAAAATACATTTCTTTTGTACTCTAGATGAAATTGCAAACAAATATGCCGATGAATTTATGAAATACATGGAGACAGGCATTGAATCTGCCAGTATGAAACAAATTTCCACCCAATTGGGGAGATCATATAAAAAAGAAATCTTCACCACCAGTCCCAATGAATTGAGTAGCATCAATCAGTTTGTCGCCTGTACCACCTGTCGTGCCGTTGCCAATGTTGTGGCACGTACCTTCCGTTCCAGTGAGGGTGAACTTAATGGTCCAAATGCCGAAGCTGATACCAAAAAGGTCTTACTCATTTTGTGTGATAAATTGAGAATACAAACCGAAGAAGTTTGTTCGGGTCTCTTTGATTTGTACTGGGACATTGTCCACCATATTGTTATGAATACAGGTGGTGATGCTCGTTCCATGTGTGGCATGTTACCCATTAGTTTTTGTCAAATCGAAAGCAAAGACTATAACTGGAGTGTCGAAGTTGATGCCACCAAGGGACCAATGACAGCACCCAAATCGAGCGTACCCAAAAAGACCGATAAAGATTTGACCGTTGTTCAAATAACCGATATCCATTACGATCCAGATTATAAGGTCGATTCGCTGGCCGATTGTGAGGAACCTTTGTGTTGTCGTGTAACACCAGCAAGTGGCATTTCCGATGAAGCTAAAGCTGGTTATTGGAGTGATTACCGTGGCTGTGACTCACCTTTGTATATGGTCGAGGATGCCTTCGATAATGTCAAGAAAAATCATCCAAAAATTGACTATATCTATCAAACTGGTGATATTGTTCCACACAATGTTTGGTCCACAACCAAGGAGAGCAACAAGGCAATGTTAACGGAAATTAATGATTTGATTTCAAAGAAATTCCCAGATGTTCCAGTATATTCCATTGTGGGTAATCATGAACCGCATCCAACCAATGTGTAAGTATCTAAAAATACCCAAAACGAGATTTTTTTTAAATTTGAAAAGTTCATACTTGAATGTAACGAAGATTATGACATTTACTTCAATCATCTACCTTCTTTGCCATAAAATCCGCTATTTTACGGCGAACTTTGCTCAGACAAAATATAAAAAGGAAACAAATATTTTCAAATGTTGATCCATTGTGAGGGAGGTACCAGAAGGAGTGGACCGATATATCCCATCTTCACAACAGATCTTGTGTCAGTAGAAATAATGGGATATGTGAAATATAAAGAGAACCTAATGCTTATTTGGGATTTTGTTAACATTTTGGTTATTCAAAACTTTGACCCTTTGTGGGAGACCTACCAGAAGGAATGTTCCGATCTCTACTGTCTTTACAAAAGATCGTGTGTTATTAGAAATATCCAGATGTGAAGGGTCTAAAGGATATTCAAAATTCCTAACTTTTGTGGGGGGAACACTTCGTGGTGTAGACCGATATTATTCATTTTTGCACCTGACCTAGAACTGATGCAAATATTAGGATTTGCAAAGTTCGAGCAAAATCGGATTATCGCTTCTCTTTCTGTGCAGAAAAAAATATTTTTTTGAAAATTTCGAACTTTTGTGGGGAAGGCACCTGAAGGAGTGGACTAATATATTACATCTTAACACCAGACCTTGGGTTAATCAAAATAATGGGATGTGCGAAATTTGAAGACAATCGGACTCTTACATCACATTTTATAAGAGTTGTAATTATTCAAAATGTTGACCTTTTGTTGGAGAGGTACTTAATGGAGTGGACCTGACCTAGAACTGATGCAAATATTAGGATTTGCAAAGTTGGAGCAAAATCGGAGTATCACTTCTCTTTCTGTGCAGTAAATATATTCTTTGAAAAATTCGGCCTTTTTTGGGGGAGGGACCAGAAGGAGTGGACTGATCACCGAACTCGATCTAAGTTTGACAAAAATATTACGATGTACAATGTTTGGACCAAATCGGATACTCCCTTCGAGAGTTATCGTGCGCACTAGCCAGCTAGACAAACGGGCGGACACACATCGCTAGATCGACTCCAAATGTCCTGAGACGGATTTGGTCCAAAGAGACCTAGGGTCTAAAACTGTTATTTCGTCTAGGAACGTTTTGGTCGTATCAAATGATATGTACTCTCTCTAGCCATATGGCTGAGGGTATAAAAAAAACTATAATCGGGGTTTACCCATACACTGACAAGGGCTAAACTAAAAATGTCATTGGCCCACCATATAAACCAATGTTATTTGAAGTAATTCCGCCCACCATATAAAATTTCAAAGTTCTAAACTAAATATGGCTAAATTAAGTTGAAAATAGTGGGCTCTTGATATGGTTGAGACTATAAAAAGGCCCTAAAAAAGTTTTGCATGATAATCCAAAAGTGTTCTGGTGTTTCCATCAAAAAACGAATAAAATTTAATCTTCTTTAATTTTCCCACACCTCTGACTGGTTGTGTGTTCCAGAGACTCTTGAAGTCTACTACAAGCTTTAATATTTTTGGCTTTATAATTATAAAAACATGTTTCGTACGGGTCCACATTGTAGAAATTCAATTCATTGATATAAATGTGAAGCAAGGACTCATTTTTTCCAAAAAAAAATATCTAAACTGGTTTTTCATCTCTTTTCAGTTTTGGCCATGAAAACGTTCCATCTGAGATGAGTGTCAGTTGGTTGTATGAACACTTGTGGAACATTTGGAAACGTTGGCTGCCAGAGGAAGCTAAGGAAACTGTTCTAAAGGGTGGCTACTATACGGTATCACCTCAACCTGGCTTACGCGTCATTGCGCTGAACAACAACGATTGTTATTTGTTCAACTTTTGGGTCTTCTATGATGGTAAGGGCACATCACAACCTCAATTGGACTGGCTACACAAAACACTATTGACTGCCGAAAAAGCTGGGGAAAAAGTTCACATTTTGGCTCACATTCCTTCGGGCAGTTCAGACTGTTGGTCTGTTTGGGCACGTGAATATAATCGCATTATTGAGCGTTTCAGTGACACCATCAGCGCCATCTTCAATGGTCACACTCACAAGGATGAAATGATTTTGCATTATTCCGAAAATGGTCACCCCATGGCCATTTCCTGGAACGGTGGTAGTTTGACTTCATACTCGGACAAGAATCCCAATTACAGGTCCTATGAAGTAGAACCAGCTACATATGTGAGTGAATCTTCTATTTTTATATATTCTTTGTTCGTTTTTCATATTTTGCTTTCTGATTACAGCAAGTTGTTGATCACTCCACGTACATTTTCAATTTGACCGAGGCCAATGAACATGGCGATCATCGCGCCCCAGTGTGGTTCAAAGAATATCAATTCACCGATTTTACCAATGACTTGAGTCCTGCCGGTATTGATGCCTTATTTGAAAAAATGTCCGAAAATCCAGAGGTTTTGCGCAAGGTTAGTTCAATTCAAAATTTAACAATAATTTGAAATTTTGAAATATTTTTTTTTTGTCTACCTTCCAGTACTGGCAATACAAAGTAACTTCGGCTGATCCCAAAATACAAAAAGGTTGCGATAAAAAATGTATGTTAAGTACAATGTGCTCCTTGGTAACCTCTGAATATGGCGAGAACAAACGATGCAAGGAATTGAAAGCAAAATTATCCGATTCTGTAAGTTATTCGAAATTATTTTTCAGTTCTTTTATTAGTAATTTGTTTATTGATTATTTACTATATATTTATGATTCAGTTGGACAATGAAAAACCCACCGAAGCTCCTACAACCACATCTGCTCCTGAAACCACAAAGGCTCCTGGTGGAGATGGTGCTGCCTCTCTAACAGCTTCCATTACCTCAATTGTTGCTCTGCTCTATGTTATTAAACAAATACTGTTGTAAGATATACTAATAAATTATTTAAAAATAAATAGAATTTTAAATCGTTATATACATAATGGGGCTGGATTCTTGTTCTAAAAAATCGAATCGGAAATCGGCTAGATTAACGAATACAGCGACTTTTTCTTAAAAATTTGTCGTTATATTTTTACAACTTCAGACTGCTGTCATTTCTAAGCCACTCGTCCGAAAGCTGTTAAAATTATTCCAGTGAAAGCTCATTATTTTGTTTACAAGCGTACAGAAGCATTTTGGTGAGAATTTTCCAGAAAAGAGTTATTCGTAATGGAATGTAAGCGTAACAGTGTGATTTCTTTATATTTGGCTGAAAAACCACAAGTGGCTAACGTTAGAGCACTCCAGCATTTAAATGTGAATAAATCTCGCTCGTTACCGTGATACTGGTAGCGTAGCCCGACGTCAAGGAAGTGGACGGAAGAAAACAGCAACATCAGCAGAAATGTTTTGAAAAGTAAAGAAGCGACTTTATCGAAACCCGCGTCGCAGAGGCCGAAACATGGCTCGTGAACTGAACATATCCCAATATTCCATTCGGCAAATATTGAAAAATGAGATCGGGGTAAGCCATTGAAGTGCCAAAAAGTGCAAGAACTTACACCGCAACAGAAAGATAATAGAATAGACCCAAAGAGTTGCTTCGCTTGGTCGAAAGTGGTGAAGTACCGAATTTGGTTTTCTCCGATGAGAAAACATTCGTTGTACAGCAGGTTGTAAACAAACAAAATTATCGTGTTTACTTTCCAAAGAGGTCAGCTGAAAATGTGCACCTTCGGTTGGCCACCAGAACTCAAGTGCCGGCAATGGTGATCGACCGTGACATATATTTTGGAGGGTGTATTAAAGCCTTGGGCACGCAAACCTTTTGGCCGCAGACCTTGGACATTCCAATAGGACTCAGCACCATCGCACTCAGCACGCGCCACCCAAGAATGGTTAAAAAAGAGGTTCCTCGCTCATTTCCAGCGCAAAATGGCCACCAACATCTCCGGATACCAATTCGTTGGACTATTGTGTCTGGAGTTTTTTTGGAAAGCAAGGTTTACACTAAAAATGCCAAAGTGTCGATCACCTCAAGCTCTTCGCCGGGAATGAGCCAAAATACCGCAGAGCAATATTCGGGCAGCGTGTGACGGTTTTATTGGGCGTTTGAAGGCCACAATTCGTGCTAAAAGCGAGAAATTCGAACAAAATCTACACTTATTCTAAAATTTGAAACTACTTCCGACATTTTTTGCTCTCATTCAATAAAATTAAAAAAATAAATAAATAAAAATAATGGAGTCTGACTTTGTTGCCGTTTTTTTCATCTCACCCTGTATATCAGACTTAGTAAAGGTGCGAAAAACGGCAATATTGGTCCATTCTTCTTTTTCTTTTTAATACCTCTTCAACAAACAAATCACCGTTGTAAGATATACAATTCAAAATAACTCCCTGATTCTCGTCGAATTTTGCATGCTATGTTTTACCAGATCGGGAGAGATCTTGGATCTTGAGCTACCTTCAAAGAAATCTTTTAAACTGTTCATACATAGACTATGGGTATAACCTCCCGTTAACAATTCATTGATAAATTGTACCGTTAAGAAATGAAGAATTTTAAATTATTTTTCCTTTATAAGAGGAGCTTGAAATCCACCATAACTTTTTTGAATGCGAGCAGATTGGGAATCAGAATATGTTTCTTAATGCATGCACCAAAAATCGTTAATGTGCTCACAAAAACGGGTTTTTATATTTTTTATGGAATTTATAAAAAAGAAAATTAGATTTCCCGTATTCATTAAAATCTCCCTACTCGCATGTTGTACAACAAATCAATAATTTTGATCAAATGCCTTGTGCTAACCGACATACGTCGCGCGTTGAATTCTAGTTCAGCAAGACCATTGTTTTTTTGTTTTGAATTGACGGAATCACAACCAACTTCACTTTATTTTGTTTGTGTTTGTGTGGTGGTAGTGACTGCAAAATCGATTATTGTCTTCTATCCTCTACAATTGTATTACAATACAACGGTGACGCCATTTTTATACATAAATCATAATTAATTCCGACATTTTTGTACTGCTACAAAGCCCCTACTCCCATACAAGCGCAAAGGGTAGATAGACAGGAGAACAGTTAATATAATTTCCTCCAGATTGCCTGTCCTGTCGGTTTGTTCTTTAGTCGTTTTGCCTTGCCTTCTTCCGTGTGCGTGCGAGTACTTTAAAGTCGTCGTGATTTTCATCATCATCGTGTGGCCATAATACTGCTGCTATTGTCCATCTTAAATGAGTTTAATAAATTTCCTTAATCCGAAATTAAAACCCTCCGTCGAGTGTGAAGCGGTCTGTGAGGATGGCTACAGTGTTTCCAACCTGATAGCTGACGACGCGGAACAGCTCCAGCGTGGTTTTATGGCCTTCAATGTGACCAAGCCCCCGGTAGAAATCGTATTTGATTTCCCCAAGGCCATTGATTTGAAGGTTATTAAACTTTGGAACAGTCATGGGGCTTTGCGGTCAACAGCATTTGAAGTTCATGGCAAATATGAGGGCATATGGGAACGGGTGGCCTATGTTCGAGATTTGGCCAAAGATGTCGATTCGCTTACATTCTGCTATCAGAGTGATTACAACTCGAAAAGTTCAGAGCAGCAGCAGCCAAGCGAAACCGTTTTCTTTTTTAAGACTGCTCATAAAATGCTATCGAATACCAAAAGTATTAAACTCACAATAAGGGCAACCCATAAGTGTCCCCCGGTACTAAGGAAGGTGCAGATTTGGGGTTTGCCAGCCCGTTCATTAGACAAGGCAGATCGCGAATTGATTAAGAGCATTTGGAACGAGATTACCAATCCCTATGACCATGCAGCACGTCAAGAGGATGCTGGCCAGAGGTCACCATCAAGATCTGTTCCGGAATTGAATCAAAGTTCAACTCTAAAAATACCCGAGGAGTTTCTCGATGCTATCACCTGGGAATTGATGGTATGTAGACAGACACAACACCAACAAAATGGAGATTTCCTCTTATACCCTTTATTGATTTCTTGTCGTCATTGTGGTTCTTTGCCTGCAGCAGAAGCAGCAGTAGAAAATATTCTCATCTAATTATAACCTCTACTTCTGGGGGATGAGATATGTATACCAAACTTTACGTAATGCCAAAAAGGGAGCAAGAAATGTGCAATGGTGTGTATGTGTTCGCACGTACATATGAACTACGTACGTACGTATGAACAAACGTTCGTACACCAGTGAATACTGCTTCAACAAGCAGTCAACTGACTGCTGCCTGGCTGACTGACTGACCAAAGTAATGCATTCTTCGTGACATTTTGTGTGTTCTGGTGTGATGTTATGTCTGTAGCGGCAGCAATATCTGTTGGGCCATTTTTATATTTTGCATTGTTTGATCTTTGACAAGAGCCACGCCATTTTGCCCAGATATGAGTGTAATGCAATAATATACTGCAATTTTATTTGTGAACAGTGAAGATATTGGTTTGCTTCAGTGTTCTATTGCCACAAAATACATTATTATTTGTCTATTTATTTTAAAATGTTTACTCAAATGATTTGTTTTTACTATAAAACAAAAGAATGCATTTTATTTGTTAACATAGGGCATTGGCACCAAATATAAAGTTTCTATGTAGCTACATTTAAAACATATAACTATAGCAAAGAAACAAGATCTTGAGGTTTGAGAAAAAAGAAAGCAACAATATATATTTATAATGCAAATGTGATTCTCTTATCTAAAATATGACGGCAATGTTATTTAAATGTATACCATTTGACAGCTAAATGTTTGCAAGATGTCAATGTATACAGATGAGTAATGATTCCTTAACAATCTCTCCGAAACAGATAAACCAGCTAGAATCATAAAATGTTGGATGTGGGTTTGTTTTGGTATGAAAAAGCACTTTGGAAAAAGTGAAAAACGTATGAATCTCCGTACTTCTGACTGGGGGACAAAATCATGAAACTATTCTGTGAAGAAAAACCAAACCGGTTTAAACCCAACATTATAAATCAGGTCAAATATAATTTTTTGCTGTCTCAACAAGATTATTAGTTTATGGAAATAATATCTACCTGAATCAATGAAGGGCAAAAAATGATTGTTTCCAAAGCTAATTTTTTTTTGGACAATACGTCAGAGCTCCGTCTGTGACGACATTCGATCTTCGCGTTTCACAAGCATTTTGTTTCTTTTAACTTCTCTAGCACGGTTCTTATCCAATACTACAGGGTTGGTTCAACGTAAAAGTTATTTTAAATATATTCAATAGGCATATTAAAGACGGCAAAACACGGACTATTGGCCCATAACGAACAGACTAAAACCACACAGACTAATGCCACATTCTGAATCCGTTCGTCTGTCCATGTATTTTTGTACTGCAGGAGATAACATCTCTTGTTTTCGATATTGAAAATAATTCATGTTCATTTCGGTTGATTATAATTAAAATTTTGGTACATACGTCCTAGATTTAGCTATTATTTTCTTAATTTCAAATTCGATTTGATTTTTAAGTCACCCAAAGCCACAATATGTGCCCAAAATCAAAAAAAATTTCCAAATTTTCAGATTTCGATATAGCATAGCAACGTGCGCTCGCATCCACCAAATTTGGTGGAAAACGATTCAGACTAAGTTATAATTGCCACCTCTCATGTCGTAACTCGCGTACAATACCATTCAAAATTGGTTAACACAAATTCATAATACAAATTTGTTACGGGTAGAACTGCTATATCAAAAAAAGCGGGAGTGTGGAGACATTTTATACATTTTTCTTTTTAGAACTTTTTCGGATCAAAACTTCAGAAACAAAAAGTAAAAACGGGGCCGAACTTATTAATATCCTTCACCAAGAGGTAAAAGAACCCTTTTTAAAGAAAATACAAATAATGTCTTCAAAATATACAAAAACGTGGACAGACATGACCCTTTCACGAACTTAACCTGCCTTCTATCTTAATTCGTTCGAAATATAGCGTGATTACAACAAGCAGACAGACCGACACCGCTAAATCGACTCCGAATTTTACACTGATCTAGAATATATACTTTGTTGGGTCTGACATAAGTATTTCGACGAGTTGCAAACGGAATGACAAAGTTAATATACCCTCCATAGTATGGTGGAGGGTATTAAGAATGATTATATATTATCTTTTTAATTCGGAAAATAAAATTGCTTCTTCTATAGTCTCAAAAGAATGTTTAAGATTTTGAACGAATACTTCTTTACCCAATCCCAAGGGGCATTGTCGAAGACATGATCTATGCCCTCTTACGCTGCTCTATTCCCTTGAATCATTTCAATCACAAGTTCGATTGAAAAATTTTCTGATATTAAATATTTTGTTGGATGTGATTTAGGATAGGTTTTTCAACTTTGAAAGGAATATGAGGGTCAGTGCAGTACCATTCAAGAGCAATATCAAGGAAAATTTCCGAAAAAACATTCCGATCGACATCAATTTGAGAGTGTTTAAATCTGACATTCAATATCTTATTTCCGTCAAAGTTTTAAATTTATTTATTCGATATCGAATGCGATAATTTGGGTCCAATGTACGCTTCAAGGACGTTTACTTAACTAGCGCATACTTGCACCCAATAATAGTCCCTATTTTGGGGCTTTATGAATAAAAATCCCGATACATATCTTCTTTTATATACTTTCTTGAGTTGCTAAACCGATTTTGTAGCTTTCGAAAAAGATTGCGTTGGAAATCTCAATGTCTATTCGTCTAACATCTTATACAAAAAATACTTAAAACGATCTACCTACCTCTACAACTCAGTTTGCGTTTAGCAAGAAGACTTGTTGTTTTCCTCATTTTAATTAATGCGCAATATATTTCCCACGATGGCATGTTTCACCTTAAATAAAAAGAAACACAAACCATTTACAAAAATATTACATTTTATTCTTTAACAAAAAAGGACTAATTCAAGTTGTATTTACATGTTATTCTTAGACATCTATGTTGATATAGTATAATAAAACACGGTAGCGTTCTTCTCCCAATACGCCTTTAATTCTTCGATTTTTCATCGGCCAATATTTTCCTCTTTAGCTCATTGCCCCAACGATATTTGTTAATATCGTTATTTTTAGCTTTTACACGATGACATGGAACAAATATGGCAATATCATTTCGACCCACAGCAGTGGCAGCAGCCCGAACCGATTTAGGCATCCTTATCATTGAGGCCACTTCATTATAGGTACGTTCTTCACCATAAGGTATTTTCAAAAGTGCTGACCAGACCTTATTCTGGAATTTGGTGCCGGTGAACATTACATAAATTTCACGTTTTGGTTTCTGTTTCTGGAAGTAAGTTTCAAAGGAACGCTGCGCTTTTTCCGAATCTTCCTTTAGGATCACTCCTGGCCAACGTTTTTTCATATCGGCTGCAAAAGTTGCAATTGGCTTTTCTTGCACAAAATGAAAATAAGCTATATGGAGGAAATTATCCTTAAGATTATAGGCCATAACCATTGGACCGTATTTTGCCTCAATAACTCCATAATCCAAGTTGCTTAGCGGCTGCTTGGGATTTTCAATGTTAATTATAACGTTTTTGAACATGTTTTCGCGATAATATTCTCAACTTTTATCCGTTGTCTAATCGTGAATTTTCAAACATCAACTGGAGTTGTTGAATTAGTGATGTCAGACGCTTAATCCGATTTTGTCTATTTTTAAATCGATAATTAACGATGATAGATGTGATAAGTATTTATAGTTGGCAACACTCATGTTTGTCTACAGAAACAAAAAGGGGATTTACTTTTGGACATTTGATAAGAGTGCAAATAAAATTAGAGAACAAAATTAGATAAGTAGTAATTATTATTAAATTAAATTATAAATAATGACAAAATTAATTGTTATAAGCATTGCTATTGTATTAATAATAATTATGATTATACCACCTATAATAACAATAAATTACTATTACTTTCTTTATGGTTTTGCTTATTATATGATAATAATTATTGTTAATAGCAACAGTACTCATGATAATACCTGCTTAATTCGTTTTTAATATTGTTTAAATTTGTTCATCTAATTATTCCATCGATTGTTATTTTATGTTTAAATTTAATTAAGATATTTAAGATTAAGAATATAAGAATAAATAGATACATAGTGAATATAATACTAATAATGACAATAATATATTTATTTCTATTTAAAAGAAATCTCGAAAGCTTTTACGTTCAATTGCTTGGATAATTAAAAGAGAATTTAAGATAAATAAATCCAAGAATAGAAAAAATATATTGAGTTCCATTTTATGAAACTTAAAATGTAACTTAGACACATACATTGCTTTAGACACTGAATTATTTGAATATCTTTGCATTCTCAATCTTAATCGTCCTCATTTCCTTTACTTCCAGATCTTTCCAACTGTTCTACCATCGGGCAAGGTTGTAGATCAATCAACTATCGATAAACACTCCGAAGAAGAAGCCAAATGGGGTCGTTTGCCATCAGATCCATTTACGGGTCTCGAATTTACAATTCATCGCAAAGCCATTCTAAATTTGGCTTTAAAAGCACGCATAGAAAAGTTCCTAATGGAGAACTCGGAACACTTTAAGACAGTTCCACGTTCATTGGGAAGTTCCCGTGTACGACGCAGTAAAAATCGACATGCCTCGCAATTTGCTAGTCTTACTCAAACACATACACATGGAGCATATTCGTCACTTTCGAAATCATATCGGACCAGTGCAACAGCGACTCTATCATCATGCCCCGATGCCAATTTAATAGATGACTCGGCCATGGCAGCCGGTTATCATTTGCCAGCTAAACGGGCACGGCTAATGGAAACCTCAACATCAAATAGCTATGCACCCTTGTCGCACAAGGGAAAATTAACTAAGAAATACACTACCTCGACAACTTCCACCTCATTATCATCGTTATCGACATCATCTACGTCACTACGACTGGCCTCGACAGCAACACAGACCACCTCAACATTTACAGCAGCCACATCTTCATTCACAACAAGTTCCACCTTAACACTGGATGTCAATAGTGCTTCGGCCACGGGTTCAGAAGTTCCCGACCCGTCATCGTCTAACTCTAGCAACAGTATCGATCAGGCCATACAACAGGCCCTACAGAAAATCACACGATTTTCACAATTACCCCTAGAACAACCACCCAAACCGGTGGGTTGTATAAAATGTCAATCGCCTGAATTTGCCTATGAAATACAAACGTGCCGTCATTTGGTGTGTCGTGAGTGTTTGGTTGAACTCTCGCAACAGGAAAAATGCATTTGTAATAAAACTTTTCGCTCTTCAGATGTTGAGCGTTATCATAAATTGTGAATTGAATTGTAAGCAAGATAAAGAGTAGCAACAAGCAACGGAGGAAATGTAAGAGTAGATTGAGAAATCGTAGTAGTGAAACGAAACTTTCACTTTATGCAATTCTTTATTGCATTGTGGCTCTTTCGTTTCGTTTAGTCGTGAATTTTATATTTATCTAGTTTTTTTGAAATAAAGGCAGGATTTTATTTTTTCATTTGTTTTTTTTTTTTTTTTTTAGTTTTATTCTACCGTTTAAGTTTACACAATAATAGTTCATAAATATTATATAATTTTTAGTTTAAAACAAATATATATAAACACAATTTCACTTTAATAATTCATACATGTATACAACAAAAGGAATATTTATAGTGTGCTGTATATTGGATTAATCTCATATATCATATATTTTATTACATACTGTTGTGAGAGCAAATTGAAAAAAAATAGTACTTGTTATTATTTAATAACTGTCCTAAATAATTTGAAATATATTTTACTTTCCAATAAGCTATAATGTATTCAATATTAAAATCTAATATTTGTCATTAAATCAGTCACCCAGTTTTCTGCCTGTCCATGTTTTTGTAACCTTTACCATATGAGGGGAGGCATGTTCATTTTGTCTTCTCGAATATAAAAATCGAATCGAAAAAGTCATCACAGGCATCTTAAAGTAGACACATTCTTGATCAACAATTAGATTTGATCAATTTTGATCAATTTAACTAAGTCTATCTGTCTTTTGAAATCAAGAGAAATGTCACCATTTTTGTGAAGAACTTTGAAAACTGATACAAAAGTTCGTGCTATATCGAGAATGATTGATTGTGAAAATGACCCATATCAATTCACAATACCTTCCGATTTTGAAGACTTCCGAACCAGCTGTTATTTAATGTGTGGAATTTCCACTCCAAAAACCATTTTCCAATATTACTGCATCTCTTGTTTTGAAGAGATTGAAAATCTTATCCAATAATTTGTTATTAAGCAATTCGGGATCTCAAAGTAAGAACATCTTTCAGGAGAAAATTTTCATATTTGGTACAACCACTTTTTTAATATAGCTCCGAGTTTTTGAAGTCTTAAAGCTTTCAGCCAAATTACGGCAATTTGGCATAATTGGTTCTCAGTGGATAAAATGTAGCGATAGATCGATTTAATTTGTTTCAGATGTCCCATCAATAGTGTTCAATAAAAATGTAGGTATCCCCCATTTGTATTTTCCAACAGAATGAACTGTACCTCATATACATATCGAATATTACTACAGATTTCTAACTCATTTGGATATAAATTAAAAAATAAGATACAAAAATTGTTAAAACTCCTAAATATCCTGTACTCCGATTTAATGTGAATGAGACTAGCATATCCAGATGGAACTCTGCTGATTTCCGTCTGTAGCAGAGGGTGCCTGCTTTAGTTCAAATTGTCTCAGATATTCAAATATCCCACCATCCGAGAATATGACCCAAAAAAAATTCAAGTCGACCTCGATTCAATCGTAATGATAGTTGTCCAAGAAGTAGTTATGTAAATGAATTCGATAGCCATGAGTTTTACACGAGCCCACTGCAATCGAGTGAGTGTAAAGTTTTCTCTGTAGAAGCGAATCTAAAAGAAATACATATGAACTTGATCAATTTTATTTTACTGACATATTATTATAAAAATTTAGGCTATTTTCGTTTGAAGCTGTTGAATTGTATGTGGGTGTAGCCTCACCTGAGGATTGGAAATTATAAATACTCCTAAAATCCTACATACATTTGATATTCTTATTAGAGTCATTTCTAACGTATCAAAATTGGTATGGTCAAAGTCGTCCCCTTCCTTACCATAATAATATCCCAGCAAACCAGGTGTAAGTCTTCCAAATTATAGTGGAGATATCAGAAAATTGAAAGACCGTAGCACTGGATCCAAATAAACAGTACATTGTAAATATTCAACAATAAATAATTTGTAAAATTCCATGCGAAATTACAATACATGTATGTCTTCATATGAAAAGCCACCGCATTACATTTTTCACAAATAGAAAAAGCTTTATTAAATTTAATTTTATTTCCATTATAAATCATACGAAAATATTAAAAATTAATACAAATTTATTTCAATTAAATTTGTTTGTGTTTGTTTCTTTTAAATTACAGCAGTAACAAACCGCAACAACAAAAGTCAACATATAAAACAAACAACAAATAGCCCTCAAACCAATGAAACAAATGTTTCCTTCAAATCAAGAAAAAGAAATCAATAATAAAGAACACAAAAAAAAGAAAACAAATACAATTTTTATATTTAAATCTATATATTTAGGAAATAAAGAAAGTAATATTAAAAACAACTCAAAACAGCCCTATAAAATATATCATATATATTTTTCATTAAAAACTTAACATAAAATAAAAAAAAAAACATCAGAATATTAATACAAAAATGTACTCCTACATAGTTTCATTAGTAATATATTAAAATCTAATAGAATAACATCATGCATAAATGCATACATTCATTAAAAAATATATACATATGTATGTATTTGTAATAGCTCTTGGAAAATGAGCCATTACACTATGGCATATATCAATAAACTTCAATATTAATTATAATGTGTAATACTATATTTATAGGAATAATAAATAATAAGTAAATGCATCTATTTAAACAAATTTAGTTTCATATCGCAATATTTTCCGTTTTGTCAGAAACCCAACAACTAGGACAAAAACAACCAACATTAATAAAATATTGTCATCATTAAAAATATGAAGAAAATTAGCTTTAATGGAAAACAACAATTATATAACATACAAAAATAAGAAATCACAGAATATCGAAATATATAAAATATATATGCGCATCTGTATAGAAAGGAAAAAAACTGTGCGTTTTTTAATTTAATTACACTGTGAAACACAAAAAAAATATTACGGGGAAAGTCCAGCAGATTGTGAACGTAGAGCTAAAAAATAAAGAAACTGCATCGGCGTTTTGAAAGTTTACACCGAAAAGCAGCAAAAATAGAGGGGGGTAAGTTTCCCCATTCATCAACATTTCTGGAATATTCCTCGGAATCCGTTCATTTTAGGTATATAGTGTATTCACCAAAATTGCACATAAAAGTACCAGCAACAAAAGCGAGTCAACAAAGGGATACAAAAATTTTGTCATAAAATTCTACCTTATGTCCCGGATGACATCAAGAATCTAAATCTTACCTAAACGTCAGGAATCCATATATACAGGGTGAGATAAAAAACCAACCAACACCATATTTTTTACATTTTTTTTAAATTTTATTGAATGAAAGCAAAAAATGTCGGAAATAGCATCAAATTTTAGAATAAGTTTAGATTCGTTCGAATTGGTCACCTTTGGCACGAAGTAAGTCCTTCAAACGGTCAATGAAACCGTCACACGCTGCCCGAATGTTGCTCTACGGTATTTGGCCCATTTCCGGCGAACCGCTTGTTTGAGGTGATCGACACTTTGGTATTTTTTAGTGCCAACCTTGCTTTCCAAAATAATCCAGACAAAATAGTCCAACGCGAGGATCCTCTTTTTGTAACCACTCTTGGGTGGCGCGTGCTGAGTGCGATGGGTCCTAATGGAATGACCAAGGTTCTGCTGGAGAGACACTTGTCAAACATTTTGAAAATATTGCCTCTTTTGTTTGCAGTTTTGTGTGGAAATTTTAACTCGTGAATAAAATGCGTACTTTGGATGAGAGAGAAAACAAAATTTAATTTCGTTTGAATGTACATACGCCATTCAACATTGTAGTTTTCATTCATAATTTTCAGTCTTCCCAAAAATTTTTAAAATTTCATAAAATTTTTCTATTATAAAATTTTAAATGCCATAATTTATTTTTTCGATTATGCTCTCATTAGGGATGGCACACATATCATCTTAGTTCTGAGAGTGATTTGAATGGAACAAAGAACAAAAATCTTTATTCGCTCAGCAAATTTTGTGTGTGGAATAAAGTAGATATTTCTTAATTAATGGTCGAACAAGAAATATAGAGCGAATCACGTGCCATGTGAACTTAGCATTACCTTCTTAATTTTACCATGCCTTCACCCATGATAGAATAATAGAGGTAGACGCATTGACACAGCTGCTTGGACAATGAACTGGAATTGAAAATGTTGAATGAAAGATTATTTTAATAACCTCCGAATGACGTCGTAAAAGAAAACATAAAAAACCACTTATATTTGAAAACACATTTAAAATTTTTTGACATATCAATGTTCCCAAGCGTTGATGCATCTACCTGTATTCTTCTACCATGCCTTCACCTTAAGGCCAAATAGGATTATCATGTAGATTTTTTCGAGAGTTCTGCTGAGACTACACTTTTTTCTGAAAACGAAAACTAAATTCCTGTTTTTCTGCCTATTCTCGTATATTATTACACATTTTTTATCGAATCCAAAATCGGAAACTTGTGTTTAAATTTATTCCGAGTTCCAAAAAAATAAAGTTTCCTGTGCAGTTTATGATGATCCTTTACATAACTGAAAGAATGTAAAACTTTTTACTACAAGAACTGATTTTTATGATATCGAAAAAAATTTCAAAACTGGAAGAGTCTTGCAGGACAGAGAATTTATGGGTCTGTTCCCGTACCAGCAAGAATCTACTAGTTTCTTCCATATCATAAAGGGAATATCGCTTATCATAGTAAAAAAACTTTTACATTCAGTTCTAGAACAAACCATATATCTAGAGTAAAGAAGAAATATGTTACTTCTTCTAGACCTAGCTAAGTACACAGGATTACATCGGGTACTTAGCTAGGTCTAGAAGTTTACACATCGCAATTTAAACAAACTAATATAAAACTATTAAAAAAGATTATTATTATGATTATTATAACCGACTGTAATTGGTTTTTCCCATGACTATATAAAATGTCATCCAATCCCAAATTTTTAGTTTAATATTTTAATCTGAGCGGTCACCCCTAAACCCATTCATATAAAAAGCTCTTAAAGCACATCCCTAATTTAAAAGCATTTCCAACTACTTTATCAAACTATTTAGTTGGCAACACTTTACAATTCATTCATTGTTTCGTGTGCGCGGGAGAAACTTTTTTCTGTGTCTTCGAACGACAAATATACTTGAATTTTAGGTTGTTAGTAATTTATTTGTGATTTGTAAATTATTATTAAATATGAGTGAAACCAATGATAAATTTTCAACACCAATTCAAACTAAAAGTAAAAGTCTTGGCCTAAAACGCAACAGCAGTAGCGTCAGTAAACAAAATTGTAATACAACAACAACGCCAGTTATATCTGCCAAAAAGAAGGCAATTAAGACTTCTAAACAAGAACCCCAATCCGATGTAAAAATCAACTATCGTAATTTGGAGACTGGAAACAGCAATGATAGCGTTTTGGACAATGGAACGCCCTCAACGCCAGTCTTACTAAGGGACAAGCAACAATTACACAGAGAATGTGTAAGTACTAATTGTCGGCCCTATCGCCTCTCTTTGAGCAAAAGGATACGAGAGAAAATGACTAAAAAGCGTCTTGAATTTCATATGGCCAATGAAATGGAAAAGCAAGAGGAAGAAGAGACACAAGAGCAGTGTGATCTGAAAGATGACAGACTGACAAAGCATTCCGAGAAACAAGAAAAGGAAAAATCCACTCCAAATGGCCCAGCAGAAAATATGACTCGTACAGAACTTTTAAGTAGCATAGACAAATTACAAAAAGAGTTAAAATCCCGCGAGGAGCATGCCAAAAAAGTGCAAGAACTTAAACAAGCAATTGAGGTGTGGAAGAACGGCTTTGCCTCCGCTCTAAATGATTTGCAGAGTAAAATAACACCTCACTATGAAAAGGAAGTTTTATTGCAACATCTGCACATATCCGAAGAAATGTTAAAATTTATTAACGATTAAGTAGTCCTAGTTATTTTCAATCCAATCAAAATCAAGCGCAATTACAATTTATGCCAAACCTCACACAGACAAGTGAGAATAGGAGAAAATGCGTTAGTCTCGCTCTAAATAATGTAAACAACACTTCACAATGAAAAGGAAACATTGTTTCACCACCCAATTGTAGCCAAAGGAATGTTAAAACTTGTTTATGATTAAATACCTCATCTTATTATTTTTCAATTCAAACAAAATCAACAGTAGAGAATTACAATTTATACGATGTGGATGGTATGAAAGTTATAAACTAAAACACCAACTGCCGCCGTCTAATATTTATGTGGTCTAATTGGTTTCTCTGGATCGAATAGCTTGGGATCTTTCAAGAACTCCAAGTCCTTGTGATATGTTGGCATCAATGCACAGTGTTGGGCCCTACGTATCGCCTTCTCCACATCTTCTTGTTTTTGTTTACATAATCCGGTAATGTGGCGACCGTAAATGCGGCCGGTATAAGGCGATTGGAATTGTGAAAGTAACTTAACATTCTTATAGTCTGGCGTTATGTTGTGTTTGCACAAAATGCACACTTTGCGTTCCTTTTCGAAGGGATTGGATATTTGTATTGGTTCATCGGGATTACTGTCAATGGCGTTTGCTGAGGGGCTGTTCGTTGTTGCCGTAGACGAGGAATATCGAACAGCAGCCGTGCTCAATAGACGAGCGTTTTTCGAAATGCCACTGAGTGCAGATGCTGAAAGAAATTGTGAAATATCGATTAAAAGTGTACAATTTCAAATGTTTAATTGACAATTTACCATTTTGTGCAATAACTTTTGTTAATTTAAACATTTTACTCTCATTAACCTGGCCCTCCGACTCGTGAAAACAAGAATTATGAACATTGACAGCTGTGAACAGCTGTTTTGTTTAAATGAAATGTGACATTTGTTGGAAGTGTCCAGAAGGCTATATTTGTGTTGTTTGGCTAACAGATGTCGCCCACACAACATTAATGGTGTTTGTCCATGCTGTAAAAGTGGAAACAAGTACTGTACAAAGTAATAAATGACTTAAAATTAAAACTTCAATCAACAATTGAATCGAATGAAAGTGGAAATGAAATAAGAAGAAAAAAATTGTCTACTGGGATAATTCCTGTAAGTATTTAATTCAAATTTATGAAAGTTTATTAATCACATTATCTTTGAGTTTACTCAATTGTTTACAATGTATGTCATACCTATGTATTTGTAGAAACAAAATAAACCAATTTCACTCAAACGTCGCAATATGCATAGGCCAGTCAGAAGCATACAGGGAAGGTTCAGGTAAAAAGAAAGTGCATTCTTAAGGGAAGAATGTTGTTAAGTGTGTTCCTTTTTCTTTTTAACAAAAAATACAAATTTCCTAAGAGCAGATATTATAGGAATGAATTGATACGAAAAAACTTGTTGAACAACTTTATCCTCATAGCAAATACATCATACCATGGTAAAAGAATATAGGTGGACGTATCGACACAGCTGCTGGGACAATGAACTGTCAAACCACTTTTGGAATTGAATAAAAATTATTTAAATTTGTAAAAATTGTTATAAAACGCGTTTTATAATAACTTCCAAATGACGTCGTATAAAAAAAAAAAAAACAAAAAAATCGAATTATGTTTGAGAATACATTTTTTTTGACATACCAATGTTCCCAAGCGTTGACTCATCTAGATGTATTTTTCTACCATGCATTTTACCTTATGTGGACAACGGTTCAGATATAGCTATAGATCCTAAACCAATTTAAGTCTTTTCAAAGTAATAACATGCACTCTTTAGCAAAGATATTCTGTGCATTATGACACAAATAACATTAAAATACCCCTTCAAATGTTGGGGATATTTATTAGGATTTAGATATAGCTTGCATATTTTGAGTCCACCCGATTTCAAAATTATGTCCGTCTGTCTGTATGATGTAATCAGTGTATCTTTTGAACGAATGGAAGGCTTAAATTTTGCACACTTGCGTATTTTGTCAGTAGGCTGTTTAAGTTTCCAAATGGGTCATATTGGTCCACGTTTTTGGGGGTATACAAAAACGTTTTTGAATGATTTAAGTTATATTTTCTAACTGATTTGTTTTCAATGCTGTACATAGAGCTCGTAATGAGTTCAACCTCCTGTGGCTGTTCTCTTATAGACCCCATATGACGGCACCTCCCTATATTCGTTATTTTAGGGATATAAACCGCATTTTCCAATGGAGTTATTTTGAATTCTAAATTTAGAGTTAGTAGTAAGTTCTATCTGCTTTGCTAGAACATTAACTATATAGGTCCAAGTTTTTCTGAAACCAAAAGTATTTCAAATTCGGTACTAATAGCCTGTTTTTGTAACAGCATGTTTCCTTTCGTTAGGAAGTTTGGTGAAAGAAAATATACTTTGGGTTTTTATACTACGTTTTTTCTTTATTTTTCTGTTTTTTTTTTTTTTTAGTAATGAAAAAATACAAACGAAAATGTCAGAAAAAACGATAGGAGGAGGACCTTTGTTTTGAACAGAAATTGGTCCTTTGTTACAGAATCACGCAAAAATTGTATGCGTATGACAGGGAATTAACATATGTACTATTTTAACACATCAAGATTTTGCTGGCGCGCCTTTCTGGTCCATATTCTTCAAATGTTTTTCGACATTTTTCAATTTTATTTTACAATTTTTTATAAATTTTGAATTTATTGGGGTTACTACAACCAGCACAACTCCTAACGAAATTAAATAAAAAATAATGGTTATGGAAACACTAACATGTCAAAGATTTTCGAGAATGGACGAGAGCTTCCATAATATTTATAAAAACCCAATTTAAAACGAATACGTTTGAACACGAATGATTCGAGTGAAACAATTTTTTTTTACAAAAACAGGCTATAAGAGGTCTTATTGAATTCTATATCATATATCAAAACATACAGCTCCAAATTTTTCTGTAGTCCCCATATAACGGTACCTCCCGATATCCAATATTTTGGCGATTTAAGGTACATTTTCAAACAAAAGTGTTTAAAATTCGGTACGAAGAGGTCGTAATGGTTTTTTTTTTCTGTAGCCCCCCTATAACGATACCTCTCGATATTCTGTATTCTGACGATTTTATACACATTTATATAGCGGAATCGTTAAAAATTCGGTAGGTAAAATTTGTCGAAGTAGGTTGCCAGAATAGATACATGGGTTCGTATATCCCCCATATAGCAGTACCTCAAAATATTTGATATTTTAGCCACCTGTTTCAATAAAATTGTTCCAAATCTGGTATTTGAATCCGGAAATATATAAAAATTTCTGTTGCATAAAATTGCCTATGCATTTGTTCTACAAAATCCGTATAGCGCGAAATGTTTAATTCTGAATATTATTATTTTAATCATGAATATCAATTGAAATATTGATCGTTGGCGGTTTTACTCTTCTTCAACTACGGCATTTATATGGTTTAGGATTTTTATTATATCCTCCATCATACTATGGAGGGCAAATTCACTTCGTCATTCCAACAACAGGTCTGTCTGTCTGTTGTAATCTGTATCTTTCGAACATCGCTAAATTGGATTAGAAATAAATTGAGATAGAAGGCTAAAATTTTGCGCAAATGTGTATTTTGCCAGCAGGTAGGTAGAGTTCGTAAATAGGCCAAGTCGGTCAACTTTTTCATATCCTCCATATAACGATACCTACCTATTTTGATGAGTTTAGCGATATTATTTAGCAGATTTTTTTCTAATTTCCTATTTGAAGATATAATTGGGTACTACAACCTGTGGAAAAATACTTATGCAGACCCATGTCATCGAATAGCCCTCATATAACCTCCCAATATTTGGCCAGCAGGTATTTAGCAGATTTTTTTTTTTCAAATTTCGTATTTGAAGATCTAATTGGGTACTACAACCTGTGAAAAAATACGTATGCAGACCCATGTCTTCGAATAGCCCTCATATAACCTCCCAATATTTGGTATTTTGATGATTTAAGCGACATTTTTTTCCGGAATTGGTTCAAATTTCGTATTTGAAGATCCTAATGGGTACTTTAACCTATGACAAAAAATTGTTATGCAGGCCCAGGTATAGCCCCTATATAACGGTACCTCCTAATATTTGACATTTAAAGCCCAAAAATTAGATATGCAGGCTCACGTTTTTGTATAGGCCCCATATATCGGTACCCTCCAAGTAAAATCATACTGATTTTTTCTACATTATTCACCAGAATTGTTTCAAATTTGTATTTGATATTCGTAATGGATAATACAACCTATGGCAGAAATTTGTCTATGTTGGTCCACACCTTCGAATTGCCCACATATGAAAGTACCCCCATATATCGGTACCTCCCAAGATTCGGTATTTTCATGTTTACTGCGACATTATTCATCGGAATTATATCAAATTTGTATTTTAAATTCGTAATGGATGCTACAACCTATGACAGAAAAATTTCTATGTTGGTCCACACCTTCGTATAGCCTACATATAACAACACCTATCGGTTTGTTGATATAAGCGACATTACTAACCGGAATTGTTTCAAATTTCATATTTGAAGTTCGGAGTCGGTACTACAGCCAATGGTAAAAATTTCTTTATGCGGGCCCTTCCCCATTTTCTATATCCCCCATATAACGGTTTTCATTTAGCCTGTATTTTTCGACGTTTTTTTGTTAGACTTTTCAAGTTCTTTCCCAATGGGAGAGGGTATTAAAAGTTTGGTCCGGCCGAACTTATGTTGTTTTAACTTGTTAGTTTGTAGTATAGTTCTAAGTAAAAAATCGGTAGTTTTAAGATTCCTTGTAGAATTACTGTACAAAGCACACAAAGAACAAAAAACAATTTGCAACAAAAAATATATATATTTTTTCTTATATATATTTCCCTTTTCATAACATATACACATTCTTACCCTGTATCTTAGATACGCAAAGGATCATTTAGTTTAACTTGGTAAAATAATATATACATAAAAAAACATTTAAAATCTTGACATGTGCATGTGTACTATCTTCACCTTAACATTTCCCCCTACCAACACCATACAACCCCATCCTTTTGTTTGTACTTATTAGCTTCCGTTTCAATATGGGTTCCATGACAAAAATCCTAAAAGGCCATGCAATAAATTCTAATATGTTGCTTCCTTGCATGCATACTACATAAGTTCATACGCCAGGAAGGCGGCGAAAAAAAATCTTTTCGTTTATGCAAAAATTGAATGTTTTGCCAATTCAATTTTCGGTATAATTTTCAATTTAGAAAACATTCACGAGCCATGCAAATTTTCATTACAAATCTGCCAGCCATCCACCAGCCAGTCAACCCGTCATATTGTCTACGATTTGTGTACCCCTTTCGTAATGGTGTACGAATAACCCAATTTGGCGTATATCCCCTCCGTGACAACCGCCGTTTTATTTCGTCGCTTTGTTGTTTAGAGAATGCGGGTCGTTTGTTATCAATAGATGGTTATTATCATCATGTAAATCCGCGTAGTTTTTTTCCTTTTCTTTCCTTCCCTTTCCCCCCCTTTCTTACATCCCTTTGATAACAATGTTAAAAATTTGTTTACAAACAATAATTTATTTGGAATTTCACATATTTTCTTTGCTTGATAATGACACACCACACTTTTTACAAAAAAAGTATTTTTTTGGGGGGAAATTTACTATTAGAACAGTGGTTCAGATATATCTTGACACGAATTTTCTTAAATCGGAGATTGCAGATATCATCCTCACACCAGATAAGTAACAATATTGGAATGTTCTAAGTTATGCTAAGCGATCATAATTATTTAAAATTTTGTACCAGGAGTAGTGGTCCAATATATTTTATAACCGTGTCAGATCTTGTTTTAGTAAAATTGTTGAGAAGTACGAAACTGGAAGGCAATCGGACTTTTATTTC